TTCCTTTTTTAAATAATTTCAAAAATCTGACTTTCTGGTGAACAGATCGCACCGCTATGTTGTAATTACTTTCAGAATTCGGTAATGGACGGATCAAATTCAGTAACAGTAGTGCATTGGCATCATTTTCTCCTTCCTGAAATGACTGTTTTTATCATATCGATATTAAAATGAAAATTTTCAATTTGACATTTAAGCGAATAAAACCATTCATATTATATTACAAATTGTTATTAATTTTATTATTATTATTATTAGTAATAATATTATTATTCATATTATTGTTATGACTAATTTATTAATTGTTGTTGGACAAAAATGTATTTAAAATTTCAGAGTTCCTAACTAGAACTTTGTTCAGTTTAAGCAATTACTGTAGAAATAAAATGAAATTGCTCGAGAGGTAAATGATTTCAATTGTTACTTTATATATTGCAAACTTTTGCTTCTCATTTTTTTTCATTGCTTATAATAAATTATAAACATTAACTTCATATTTTATTTGTACCTTTTTTTTTTTTTTTTTTTTGCAAGCATACATTTTAATTCGTTTTTTTTTTTCTCTTTCGTATGCTATTGATAATAATGGCAGCTGTTTAGTATGATGATCTTGTAAAGTAAGGTATGCATTACTAAGTACGATCATTCAAGTTTTTCATCCTATATAGCAGTTTAAATTTGCAATTATTAAATATCTTTTATTTATAAAGGTGAAAGAAGGTGATAGAAGCTTTCAATTCTTTCTACCTCTATGACTATCAGTTTATTGACTAAGTCTACTAAAGGTATATTTAATAAATTCGTGTTTGTAGTTTCAAGGGAGCTTTAATGGTTAACCACTTAAAGCAATAATGAGCGCTTACGAAGCTTCTAAGATTCATTTGCTTTCACTAATGTTTAAGTTGAACAATTGCTATCATGAATACTGTGTAATATTTATGTAAGTGAATTAAGATATTTTTTTTTAAAATAAGTATTATTGATTGAAATAGAAATGATAATAGCAGGAAGTACTGATAATCATAAATAACTACGGGATAAGTGGTGATAGCAAAATGATAATTATGGTAAACCTTAATGATAGGTGCAATGTTGATGAAGTAATTATCTTTGATTGCTCTCTCTCTTTTATAATTGTTTCAATTCATAGTTAAATTTACAATTTCTATTACTGCATTTATCTCCAAGGTAGCTGCAATATATAATTGGGTTGGCCCGTCCGATTATTGTGTTATGAGCCTTTCCAAGCTTTTCCATCAATACATTATATCTTTATAAGATTTTAAATCCAACAAGGCTAACTACAAAGTATAATAGCTTCAACAGAGTGATTGTAAAGTGGATGACAAGACAAGACAAGATAAGAGAAGGGGAAGAGAAGAGAAGAGAAGAGAAGAGAAAGGAGATGTTGAAAGGAATCATGACTTACTTTGAAAAAAGAGCAGCAAAAATTGACGTACTTCTTTCTTGGTCCCTTTAAGGAGGTATCCTGTCCTATCCTGTCCTATCCTGTCCTGTCCTGTCATGTCATGTCATGTCATACTCTACCTCTTCTCGTTGTCCCTTTTCACTCTTCTTGCTGTCATCTTATCATGAAATTGGTCAGGATAAAGAATTAGTTCTTCCTGCTCTTAGTAGTCTGTGACAGCTCAGCTCTTCGACATTTCTACTCCTTCCTTGTTGTTATCAAATGTAGCTACCGTATCCATTATGAATCTATCTTTTTATCATTAACACATCAATACTTGAAAACGAATAAACAGCAATTATATGCGTCCAAGCTATCATTACACAACTTTGCAGCTAATGTTCACAATTTTTATGTATATTTTAATTTGAAAATTAACAACTAATGCAAAGTCTATAAGGAAAAATATATACCGTAAACTGGCGGTAATCGTCTAAATCGGATATTTATCAAGAATTTAATTGTTTAAATAAAAATCATATAACTAGTTTAAGAAATTACTAGATGTTACTAAGGTGTACAACTCAATAGCTTAACCTTTTTTTTTTTTTTTGACTTAATACCTTGGCAATTTTATGTTTTCTTTCTTTCAAAAAAAAAAAAAAAGTTTAATGAAATAAGAGAGATTTATTTGCATGAAGCTTAGCTTATCATTACAAATAATTTTCCTCTGAATTCTACTTAAATCTCGAAAAGATGCCAAGGATGTGTGCGCAATTAGTGAATGGTTGATTGATTTGCAAGGAGCACTAAATGGTAGCAAGCAGATTATACCTCAATTTCCCATGTTATATACCAATTATTGGAATTGAAGCATATCCGGAAAAAATAAATTGTAGCTTGCAAAGTGCGCAATTTTGTATGACTTTTTAAGGAATTCTATACAATTGGGTAGTCAATGGGAAAGTCCATGATGGAAAGGTAATTTCAGTATTTGTGATATCTTGTTTGAAACTTTGCATGTAGAAATTATATGATATTAAAATACGATTACTCTATGAGTTTTACTTTATGTTAAAGTTTAGTTGAATTCTTGCTTAACTTTAAACCTATCACTTCGTAAATATTTAAAATAATAGTAAGATTTAAAGCATAAATATGAAATGTGAAAGATTTCATATTGGGCAAAATTAAAAGACTTGATTTATTGAAAAAATTTTTAGCTTTATTGGATGGTATAGAAAGAGTATGGATCTTTTATACTTTGAAATATATATATGCATCTTAAGGTTTTGATAATTTGCAAGTTAAAATATACTTTACAAGTTAAAAATTCTTATCAAATTTTTCTTATCAAGAAGAGATAAACAAAATAAATGATCAATCATTCATTCTTGTTAGAGATGTGAAAATTTCGCTATTTTTTTCAAATATAATGGATGCTCCATTGAATAGCATTGATAAATCATTGATAGTATTGATAAGTATTTTGTTTTTTTCCATAAAATGAATATGCTTATCACTTATCACGATGAAAACAAGAATTCAACTGATTACGAATAATTATCTTATCGTATCCGAGATAATTACAAAAAAAAAAAAAAAAATCTGATCTGATAAAATAGAAAACGATGATTGTTGCATTTAATTCATTCGTTCTTTTATTTCTAATAACTGAATGAATTTAATTTCTTCTTCTCGGGAAGTAGTGGTGGGTGGTACAGGAAGAGAGGATCATTCTTCCTATGGGTGGTCTTTTTCAGTAAGTATCAGCAGCAGCAGTAGTATTATAATTTATGCATGTTAATACATCATAACAATAGTAAAATATGGGTTCGTTCTCAAATGAGTAATGAGGAACACAGAGAGAGAGGAAAGAAGGAAGCTTTGGGTAAATCTTTTCGTACCCGTCGAAGCACCTCGGAATGCGGAACGAAATCTAAAAACGGTGTGGGTGGTAAACAGCTGCTATATTACGCATTCCATTACTGATTGATTATGAAAAATTTTTTTTTTTTTTTCATATTTCTATAGATAATTCTGGATATTTGGTAAGAAAGAAAAAAAAAGGAAATTTGCATGATCTATTCGAGAATATCATTTTAATTATTGAGGTTAATTAATTAGTTTTTTTTTTTTGAGTTTAAAGAATAGATGATCTGTTAAGAAAAAAGGGACATTTTAAAAAAAAAAAATCACTAAAGATCAAAGTTGGTTGACATGCAAATTATTAAGTTAGTATACTTAAAATTGATTAAAACTTTGGAATTTTAGTGTAGTTTAAGATTGGAATTTATGTTAAATAATTTATAAATTTCTAATATTACATCTGAAAATATTGATAATAAGTATGCAGAGGACTAAAGCAAAGTATTGTTAGGTTTTGAGGCATTTATGGTAAGTAAAATAAATTTCTATTTGTTGATGTCACTGAAAATGTTGTTTGTGATGGATGCATATTAAAATGTTATTTAAAACTGGTTCTAAGATTCAAGATGGCAATTAAGCAATGTTATAGGTTAGAGTATAGATCCATTACTGTTTGTTTACATTTGATGCTACTCAATAAATTTTTCAATTGAAGAATGTTATCATTGTGCGCTTATCATATCATTATGAATGCTTTAGAATCGATCAATCGATTCTCAATTCATTGATTGACATCTTGTTTACTGATCATATCAATTATAACTGATCACATACCTACTTGATTGATAGGAAAAGATCAGCAGACTAATCAATGGATGCATTACTAAAAAGTATTGTAATTTGAATAGAATATAAATGGATGAAAATGTTAAAGCCTAAAAAATAACCTTATCAAGAACACCAATCAGTAAACCAGACTCAAGTTTTCCTCTTGTCCACAATGAACTTGTGTGATCATCATTCTGTCGAACTTCTACTAATCGCAAAAAATTCGCATCCAAACTCATTTCTTGATAACTGCTGTAAAAAACTGAATTTATGATCAACAAAAAAAAAAAAAAAAAGAAATTATGTATGCGATACGGCAAAAATCTTACAAAAATCCAAGGCATATGGAACTATAATTCTTTTGAATTGTTTTTCAATTTAGAAATTAGAAAATAAATTAATTTAACATCTATAAAATTACCTAATTCTTGTGGTTGGCAACCTAATGAGTTCTATTTATTATAATTCTGTAAAAAAGTAATGATAATGATTCTTCGTAATTAAAGTCCTCTAAAGTTCAGAATGTATATTAAAGGAAGCAAATGACAACAAAGGATTAACAAATTTGACACAATTAAAATTGTGAAATGATAAAGCATCTCGAGACAACACTGAAATACATCTATGTCAAGGAGAGAAATTTATTTTAGTTAATTTAAAAGCCAAATTATAATGATATGTTGAAGAAAGTTCAAAGGTTAGCTTGTGATATTCGATTGGATAAAGAAGACAAGCATTAAAGCAAAAGCAAATCATTTGCTTAAAAAAATTCACAACCACACTTTTATTTTGGAAGGAAAATTTTAGTAATTAAATATATGTGACCTGAACAGGTAACAATTCTTCCACTTTAATATCATAAATTCAAATCATTCATGGCATACTGTAAGTGAGGTTATGGCAATAAAGCGTTGGAGAAGAGCGAGAAATAGATAGACAACGATGATAATACGTGGGAGAGTCGATCACGACTACTCGATATGGCGCAATTGGTAAGTGAAGTGAGTGCAGTGAGGCTCATCCTATCGTTAGGCAGGTAGATAGAGGGGCGGAGGTGGAAGAGAGGAGCGGTCGACGTTTGCCTATCCATCTCATCTGCCCAACTCCGCCTGCGGATGGCATCAGCGGTGAGTTCTATGCGCTGCTGCTGCTGCTGTGCTGCTTCTTCCTTACTTTCCACCGCCATTCTCAGACATCAGCGCATCCGGTAGACTCTCCATCATTCTCCATCTTTCTTTCCTCCTTTTTCTTCTCCATTTATCTATCTACCTTATCACCTTGTATGTATGCATGTGTGTGGGTGGTTATATAGTGGACCTTTCATTTTTCTATCATTGGACTACGGTATTTGTGACGTTTAAATATGTGTAAATTGATGAAGGAGAAAATGATGTTGAAAGTAATCCAAATAAGCTTAAGTAAAATGAAGTCTCCTTGCAGCAATCAAATTATTTCCACTTAAACACCCTTTTTTCAATTTTCATCTCTCTCTCTCTCTCTCCCTCCGTCTCTCTCTCTCTCATCATACCTTACTGTATGTTATTTATGCATCTTTCATAATGTTATGATTACATTTAACAGTGATGTAATGGTCAATTGAGAGTGACCACTGAAATGGAAAACAAATGAAATGTTTAGCGATTTAAAGAAGAAAGTGAAAGTAATCGATAAAGTTACATTGAAATAAGTAATGAATGATTTAGCAGTATATTGCATCATTTTATTTCTTTACTGAAACATTTTTGATTTTTTGCAAGAATTTGTAATACTTCTATACGGGATAGAGTTGGTAAACAAAAATTGATATTCTTGTTTACCTTTTCAAATGGTTAATTGAAAACTTTCTGAAGAAATGATTTGAAGATATTTGTTGAATTCCAAATACTTTCACTAAAAATGCATTCTCTCCATAATAATTTGCCCTGAAATTAGCAGCGATGGTTTCGACTTGTTTAGAATAAACCAAATGAGTCATAATTGAGGATACCTATTCGAGATTAGTTTAATTGTTGTGGTCATAATAAAATGGTAAATGTCGTGCATGTGTGTGTGTGTGTGTGTATGTATGTATATGTGTGTGTGTGTGTGTGTGTGTCTGTTGAGGTAATTGACTTTAGGGAGTGAAATAAGCTGATCATGAATGCATTGTTCATGAAGGATAGAGAGAATGATGATGCAATGAATGGGTGGCTGCTAAACCAATCCTTAGATTAGAGCTTAGTCTAACGGTCATTTCGGTTGACCACAACAGGACAGTGGTTAGTCTGCTCTCCTGCAATTGACTGACTGAAAAGCTAAAATGCTTCGTGCCATATTGTTGTACCTGCTGTTAGAGTGATGAATTTTTCATAAAACGATTAGCATCACTCTCTCAACGCACAATGACTTATACATTTGTCACCCATCCTGAATTTGATGTGTCATCAAAATATTAATTAACTATATCCTGGCAATAGGTTCAGTTTGCAAATTTCTTCCATCTTTCCATTATTGCCTTCATTTACTTTTTCATTTGTTCATTTTCATTTACTATCATTTATTAATTAATTTGAAAATTTTTATTCCTGAAAATTTTCACATAAATATGTTTTAAGCAAAAAATAAAAGCTCACTATTTCAGTTTAATTTCAGGAATCACATAGCTTCGAGAATCCAAATATATATATGAGTGAATAGTCTTTCTTAAAATTTGTTCCTTTTTTTAACATAAAAAGTGCTAACTGTAATAAATGGTTTGAAAAATATTCAAAATTCATTCAAACACAAAATATTCAAATTACAATTTTATTTCTGCTCAAATTGAAAGAAGTATGTGATAGTGGTAATAATTGTATAAAATAGTAAAAATAAGACCTCAGAAAATGGATGAGTCAACGGGTCAATTCATTAAGGAAAAAGAATAGTAAAATATTAATTGTTGTATAATTTGGATAAGAAAAAGTTTTTTTTGAGTAAAAAAATATGATTAGAATAAATCAATGGAATATGATTTTTGTGATCGGTCTTTTTCAGAAGATTAAAGAACAATTTTTATTCACAAAGTCAACAAAAAAAAAACTGCTCAGTTTATTTGAGAACTACTTGAAATTTGAAATTTAAAAACTACTCCATTGATCCATATATTTTTATTTTAAAAAATGAAGATTTTCCATTTGGAAGCAATAATATTTCAATCATTGAAGAAATAAAAATGAAAATATTTCGAGAAAAAATTTTTATGCAAAATATTTTGTATGAAGCATATTTAGCTTCCTAGTCTTTATACTTCTGGTCCTAGTCTTTATACTTCTGGCTCATTTTCTAAAATGACCATAAAAACTAGAAAAAAAAACAAGTATAAATAAGCATAGCTGTTCTTTGTTACTTTCTTATCATCATCTTCTCATCATCATCATCATCATCATTATCATCATTCATTATTATCATCCATTATCATCATCTTCATTATTATCATCATCATATTATCATCATCACTATCATCTTCATTATTATCATCATCATTAGCATCATCTTCATTATTGTCATCATCACTATCATCATCTTCATTATTATCATCATCACTATCATCATCTTCATTATTATCATCATCATTATCATCATCTTCATTATTATCATCATCTTCATTATTGTCATCATCATTATCATCATCTTCATTATTATCATCATCACTATCATCATCTTCATTATTATCATCATCATTATCATCATCATCATTATTATCATCATCATTATTATCATCATCATTCATCATTATTATCATCATCATTATCATCATCTTCATTATTATCATCTTCATCATTATCATCATCATTATCATCATCTTCATTATTATCTTCATCATTATCATCATCATCATCATTGTCATCATCACTGCCATCATCATTATTATCATTATCATCAGCAAAATATTGTCGTTTTATTATTTACATAAAATTTCCACGATGAATAAGGAATTCATCATTGAATTTCTGCTGAATCGCTGCATTGAAATGCAATAGAATCAGCACTCAGTCCAAGTTTGAAAATACTTTTGCTATTATTAATTGTGGAAAGTGCTCCGATTGCTGGTTCTGAAGATAAATAAGCCGGACGACACACACATACACACACACACATACATACATACATACATACACATACACAAAAAGGAAATTTGTATGGAAAATAGACGATCGTAGTGATTGACTGACTAAGTAAGTAACTGACTCGATCATATCAAAGGAATATAGAAAATTGAACAATAGATACTGGTTACACCTGTAGATATACCTGTAGATCGAAAAGACGGAAACTCTCTGTCAACAAATATTGTGACACAGTAATTGTGGTGCTTATGGAAAATTAACTTTTTAAGACTATTACACACAATTATTGTTAACAATTAATTATTTGAAGTTTGATTTTATCACTTATCTATCTGAAATGTTATTTATCAATTATCAAATTTTAATTTTAGTATAATGTCTAATTTTTAGCTATGTATTGACAATTTTTTGATTTAGTTTCTTATATGTTTAAAGGTAAATTGGTAAATTATTATGATTCTAAGTGAGAGGTCAAAATTTGAGCTAATTTATTTGTCAACAAATAGTAAGAAGATGAATCATTAATGAATTTTCAGTTATAATGAAACGTTTGGTAAGGATTTTCACTTTTTTTGCAATAATTAATACTCAACTAAAGAAAGAGCTTCCATGTACACACGTCCACTGACATTTTGAAACGTGAAATAAATCTACTCCATTCAAGCTATCTGATAAATTTTCAGTAGTAGGTTTGTTGAAATATACTTTGACATAAAGTGAAAATGTAATGTAGAAATGTAACTAAGTTGAGTGCAGTTGTTTTTTTTGTTAAATTGACGAATTAGATAACGCCAAATAGTCTAATTTATTCCTTTATGTTCAATTTATTTGAGCTAATAAGCTAACAGTCGTTCAGAAATGAATGAAGTGGTTGAGAAGTATGTATGACATGACATGATTAAATTAAGTTTTCATTTTGGTGATATTTGTGAATATAGATAATCCGAAAGATATTCTGAAAGCAAATACTATTGTTTACATATCTCTCTTTGTCACTAGAGTAAACATATCATGCTGGTTCACACCTTTTTTTTTTTTTTTTAGAAGATATTTAATCATTCTTCATAAACAGTAATTTATGTTTGATAAGTATTACAGATACTAATAAAACAAAGAAGGGAAAGGTAAGCAAATGGATACATGGTGTGACTGAAGTGGCTCAAGCCGTTTAAATCATCAATTGTCACAAAATCTATAAGTGTATTTATTTATTTATTTATCTACCTAAATATCTAGATATATGCATATGTATAGAAGTGTAGACAGACAAAGAGAAGAGGTGACACTTGACGTTGATATGTTTGGTCCTCTCAAAACTTCAGAAATCTTCAATCAAACGCGATAAATCAGCAATTTGATACTTTTTCAATTATTGTTATTGTGTAAGCATTTCAAATAACTACACCAATAGAGAATGCTCAATTTTTCTCATTCATTTAATGCGTAAAAGATATCACTTTGAATGGCTATTACACGACACGTAAATTATATTACGTATAACGTAGAAAATACGTTCCACTACACTACAGCACGTTTCGTTTAACGTGATGTACGTTCACATCCACTTATACTATTAATAGCCTATTATAATTACTCAATGATTGTAGATATTAATAATGTTTGCTAACCGAAGAAAATGTAAATCATAAAGGTCAAGCAACACGTTAAACGTTGAACTCCTTATTCAATTTCATTTTTTCTCTGATAGTCTTCTCAAAATTATCAAAATTATCTTTGATGTCTAATTACAGGTGAGATTAAAATTAACTTATCTTTCTAAGTGTGTCATTTATACAGTAACTGATATCATTTATAGACAAATTTCTTCAACCAAATTTATTTCATAATAAAATTAACTAATTAATTAATCAATTGGTAAGCATAATTTTTCAAGCAAAATATTCTGCATAATATTACTATCTTTATACAGTGTAATTCAGTTAGTGACATAAGATTTAAAGGGATTGTGGACAAGAATAAGGTTAATGTAATATCATTCGAACAGTTTCAATTAAGTTCAAAATAAATTAAATTACAAAACTGCTCAATCACAATACGAGTAAAGGATAAATAAAGTTAAAAAAAAAAGACCGGAATCAATTATAAAAGCGATATACAATATTAATTTATTTGAATAAAATTTTTCTGGATTTTTGAAAATAATCACTTTAGGAAATTATTTTAAAAAAGTACGGTAAATTTCGATATAATTTTGATACAATTACATGGCTAACCAATAAGAATGTAAACATAAGTTTAATTCAGTCATTGTACTCACATGTAAACAAATTCCAAAATGTTATCACTGATTAATTGATTGATTATTGTGGCTAATTAATTTAGGTTAATTATTAACTGAGAAGTAATAATCAATTCGACACACAAATCCATCTTACCGCAGATATTATACAACTTCATTTCAATCTTCACATAAACTTTTGAGCATTTTAATATATTTTAGCTTCTCTTCAAGATGAAATACAAATGCGACATTGATGACCAGCAGCTACACTTATAGCAAATGTTGAACACTGAAATTTTGAAATTTTAAAATTTTTAAATGTAAATTCACTGCGCATTTATTAATTTTAAGAGAAAAAAAAAATTCCAATGTAGCTGTGCAATACGATGGAGAACGAAGATCGAGATAAATTGATCCCCTCTGTAGCGATCAGTAATAAAACGAACTTTGATATCACTGATAATGATGGAAAGCCTTAGCCACTCCAGTTCACCCATTAGGCAATGTATCAATCCACCAGCATAATTTGTGAAATAAACTAATATTGAAGAATCTAAGTGTTTAAATTAGTAATTAAACGAACAATAGCTGCTTATATGAGTAGCAAAACATCCAAAGACCAAGTGATAACTCATGATCATTTGATATGTCTTTGATAATAACATCATCAATCAAATTATTTTGCATATTATGAATACCTGAAATGTGTGACCATTCGACATAACTTGAATTCTAAGCAAAAATGTTAAGTTCTCAACAATTCATCATTCAAACATAAAATGATCATAGAATATCTCTCCAAACCTAACAATCATTACAAACTTTTATCAATAAAAGTAACATATACAATAAGCCCCTAAATCAATAATCCAGTTTAAAAGGGATTTTAAAAAATTCCGAGTTAAAAAATCACTTTAAATGCAAGAGATAAGCTTTTAGTGTATTTATATTTCAATAAATAACAAATATATAGAAGCGTGATAAAAACATAAGTTGTTGCCAAATAGAAACGACAATTAGAAATTAAAGAAACAATTACTCACTGCTGAATACAATTAATCTAAAAGTGATTTTGTTGTGGCTAAAAGCCACAACAAATATGTTAAGGCATGATAATCTGAACAAAATCACCAACGTAGAAAAAGGAAAATTTAAGGCTGAAATTTAGCAGTGAAGAAATGATACCACAAGTCACAAAAAATGATAATGAAAATTATAAAACTAACATCACAAATTAATGATATATTTATATATGTGAATGAAATGATATGAAAAATGAAGATGCTAAAGTTGTTGTCACGAGAGTACTGAGTTATGGATGACAGTAAACAGAGAGGGAAAGAAAAGTACATCTCTGAAGGACAACAAAGTGGGCAGAACAACACAACAAAAATATGAAAAATAAGTCACAATATCAATACAAAATACATCAACATTATATATTTAAAAAACAATACTGAGAGATGAAGAAGTCTAACCTATTCACTCCCATTTTCTTGTTAGGTGAAAAAAAAAAAAAAACAATAACAAATTGCTAACGTGATCAGTTGCCTTGAACTGATTGAAGAGAAATATTTATATCTTTAAAAAAAAAAAAACATTAGCAAGCTCTAAAATTTCCTTTCATAGCCTTTAATAATATATAAAACTTATTTCTTTAATTTGAAAAAATTGTGCTTTTTTGCTAAAAAGAAAGTAAAGTGTTACTCAAAAGGCAAATGAAAAACAGTATTTTCGTCAGGTAAAGTTACATATAAGGCCCATCTGAATCTACCGAATCTTGACATGTATGAAAACTATCACTACCATGACTTCGAAGCGAGAGAAGAGAGTGCGCTCGCCTATTAAAATCTTCTCTCATAACCTTTTCTAGTTCAATCGATGCTTGCTCATTTCTGAATTGTCCCGGCTGGAAAACGAGCTCGTTCTGAGCAGAGTCCACCTGACTGAAAATATTTAAATCAGCAATAATTCATCGGAAAAAATAATGCTCGTAACTGTATTGAGAAAAATTTTCGTCGCACAATTTGTATAAAAACTATTTCACAAATGAAATAAATGAAGATCATATATATATATATATATATACTTTTTTTCTGTATTATCTTGGTCGTTCTCTGAACCATTTCGGGCGCTGACTCCTGAAGTAATATCTGAAATTCGAGCCTGTCGTGCGAGGAAACGCTGTCGTTGTAGTTGAATGAAAATATTCGCTGGAATATCGGGTATCACATAAGCAACCATAGCTTTAACCAATGCCACTAAATGCTTAAAAAAATATATTCATAAATAATATAGATGTGAAGCAAATGAATCGAACTCAGTTATATCTAAAAAGTCCATTAAACTAAAAGTCACATCAGTTTCATACTGAATGTCATGAATTGTTATGAAAAAACTTTAAATGGATAGCTGTCAAAGCAGTGGTTTTGAAACATTTAAAATACGACACGCCAGCAAAGGGATTAAGCTGTAAAGAAAAAAAAATGCCAAAGAGAACGTTAAAAATCTTTAAAATAATTAATAACCAACAATTTTACAGATGTATTATTGGTTTCCCCACTTCTACGCCATGCTTTTGACAACACTGTCATATTTTCACTACCCCAATTATGCTATTATTTGAGGGAGTTCTATAAATAGTCCGACAAAGCTGCTATTATAAATAAACATAATAGAGTATCCTTCAAATAAATCGATTCAAAAATATTCCTAACTTCATTGCCAATGATAAATAAATGTTTGTATCAAGAATATAGAGTTAATTTACATTTACTATTAACTTACATTGCTAAATAATAATGAAACTTCAAATGAAAATGAACCAGATTTTTTCTTAAAACATGGAGGACGAAACATTAATGTCATCATTACGAATTTTTGCTATAATAATTACTGATGTTAGTAGCCATCTTTGTAACCTTCATTTCAAAGTTATTCTGTTTCGAAACATATATTTTGACTCAAATCAAGGTAAGTTATTATAACTATAAAGTAATTTGTTGCACAAAATAAACAACTTGCTTCGAAAATAAGGACAAATGCCAAGCGAAAAGTAAAAACAATCCACCACTGCATTGTGAAACCATAATCATTATCACAGTTTGCTAACGGATCGATGGTACATGGTGGTTTTCTGTAGTCACGGAACCTGACGAATAGCGAAATTCTATAGCTTCTATACAAAAACAAATAAAAGTGTCAGTGAGATATAAAAAGGATCATTTTCCTTATTTATACCATATATCCATCAAGCCTATGGTAGTAACATCCTTGTGCCATTAAAACAAAAACTTCTCAAGCAAAATAAAGTATATTAGTTACATTTTATTTCGGACTGTTCAAAAATAACTATACAAACTCATATCTTTTAAAATTAATGTAAAAGTTGAATCATAAAAAGAAGTGCTATCTAATTTTATAAACCAACCTACAAACAGTAATGTTATCATTCTTGAATTCGCTCCATTTGACAAAAATTTCAGATGAATCATAAAAGGAGAGTGAGTTATTCACGTATCCATACAATTCATCATGCATATACACAAATCGATAAACAAAACGGGGTATGAAATCGCTTGTAAATGCTATGATGCAAGCCTTTAAATAGAAAATTACATTGCATAATACAAAAAGCGATTGATTGTTTAATCAGTTCATTTATTACTTTATTCAAATATCTTTAATGCAAATCAATTGAACAAGGTATCAATTTTTCAAATGAACAATATTTTTCTATCAATTTAGAGTGACGTTGAGATCTTTGCTGAAAATGAAAATGAAACTAACGTTAACGAGAACTGCTGCTCTGCTAATCATGCTTAAGATTGGCAACCAGATACCAATATCACGTGCTCGCTCCGGTATAGGACGTCGGGTAGCAACTACGTATTTGTATGCATCAACTCGAATTTCAAGAATATTATTTACCAAAGCAAAAAGTGGAGCAAGTGGAAATGCTGACACAAAAAGAGTTACAAAGCCAAATTGTATCACTGAAAAAAGGTTTCTTTTCATGAAAAAAGTATTGAGGAAAGCTGCTGCTGTTCATTTTATCATGAATAATTCAGTAAAAGTCACACAAATAAGGATTGAAAAGAATATCTTTTGGAATTCTATAAACCTAAGAGTTTAAAAAAAAAAAAAAAACTACCTATACTACAGCGTTCAACAGTGAGTATTTTGAAAGAGAAAGCTATGATTCAGAGATTCTTGAAAAAGATATATGTATGTTAAAAGAATTTAATCTTGAGAACGTATGGATTAGACATTGATAAGAGATAAATTAGTAGTAGAGCAATCATTATGCTTTCTGTTTACAAAACTTTCACACCGTCTGATATCTACAAGAAACCAGATTATAAACATCGAAATTACTTTGACCAACCCATTTCCAAATATTCTTCAAATAAGAATTGTTCATATGTAGGATTGAGTACATAATCTTGCTCCCATCTAGCCATTCGATTGGCTAGTTCATGTTTTGTTCTTTCGTCTCGTTGCTTTTTGGTTTCTAATAACCGCAGCGACCGGAACCAAGTCATAAGTACTCTAAAAACTAACTTTCAAAATCAATAATCATTTGATGGATAGCAAAGTTTTCATTTCTAAAGAAAGTGATAATAGAATTCGAGAAATGTTGCTTACGGCCATGCAAATTCCACAAAACCATTCCAGAATTGTTTACCGCACATGATGATTGCCAATTGTATTACAAGCTCGACCATACAACCAGCTGGATCGCATTCTTCTGGTCGGAGACCAAAATAATGTCGTCCAGGTACGCTCGACAAACTAAAGAAATCCACTTACAAAATAGTTGTTGAAATCGATTGCACATTCTTAATTTGCTGATTTTACACCATTATCAGCATGAGAATCAAGAGAATACCGTTAACCTGGAATTAATCAATTAGAAGATGAACCGGAAAACTGTTTGTTATTTTTCCGCATGAATACAATTAAGAAGGTTTGTTGCTGACCAAAGCATATCTGACAGAAGACTGACATGCATGATATCTTTAACTCCGAAATATAATGCCTCATAAAAAAATAAGAAATATATTGAAAAATTATCCAGCTATGAAAACAAAACTAAAGTTCCAGTGTCAGCGTGCTGTTAAGCATAAGCGGTGATGTCTTGAAAAGTGTGATCTAAGAATCGAGATTGGCAAAAATACATAACAAAACAAAGTGAAGTGTATATTCAATTGAAGTGAATGATAAGTTTCAAACTTCTAAATAATCACCAAACATTGCAGTGAGAAAAAAATCAACTTAAAAATTAGAATTGAGGTAATTTGTTTATTTACTATTGTAAAAGGCAAATAGATCACGTTACGAACGTCGTGAAACTGAGCAGAAATGGTAGAAATGGCTGTCCAAAACACACAGTGATGACTAGTTATCCTCGATGAAAGCAATACAAAAGAAATATGGTGGCTGGGAAATGAATTCAGAAACAACCTCAATTTAATCAGGGCATATTTTCAATCAAAAATGATTTCAAATACAGTCCATAAATCATTCGCTCATAAAAATGAATAGATGAACAAACCGCCACTAAACTAAATGGAAAAAGATTGTAGCATCACATCATACAGAAAGATTAGCAGTACTGATGCAAATATTGATTTCGTTATATAATTATTGATCATCAAATTTAAATCCAAAAATTTTAAAACATACTTGCCCTTTACAAAAGCAATGTAAAAGATGGATGAGTAGTAGTTGATAAACTGGAATAAATAAACTTTAAACGTGTAACTATTATCGAATTCAAGTTGCGTCCTTGGACATTCCCAATCTGTTAATTTCAGCGCCAGATATGAATAAAGCTAAAAGCAAATGGAATCGCAGGTGAAATAGTAGAAATACAGTAAGTGGTAGCTTAGTTTCCCTCTAATTTGGGTAACTTTTGTGATCGTTCTCTTCTCATGATGTTAACTTCTCTAAGCTAGTTTCATGGTTAAAAAACAAACCCAGGAGTACCATTCGAAAATTTAGAAACCTACTTTGTTGGACGTTAATATCTTCTGTTAATATAATATTCCCTTAGCCTGCAATTGTCTAGATAAAAATCCAATAACTATTTAGTAGGCTATTTCTCGCTATTAGATTAAACCAGACGAATCACTCCACCGACTAAGAATGGCCATGCATCTACCAAACACCAAATCATTAAAGAGCTCTCAATCTGTCATCCTTATGGTGTCCGAGTTAGGTGAGTTTTGTCGTGTTGAATCGCAGGCATCGGCAGAAAACAACTACAAAAGCAGGTTATTTTCAGCAATCTTGAATAAATTAAAAAAATTTTTCAAACATACATAGCTCATTGCTAAAATAATAGCTAAATTCAGTGTGGCAGCAGTAGTGAATGTGAGAAGATTTGCATATGGTTTCATTTTATCCACTCGATAAAGAACCTGAGAGAATACGATTCGATAAATTATAATACCAATAACGAATGCTATCACGAGAAACAGCTGCAGAAAACACAAATAATCGAAGCAGTTTTAAAAGTAATTGAAAAAAAAGAAGCATCGCATCGTCTTTCACATTATTCATAGGCAACAACAACAACAATGATACAGAATAAAACAAAAAAACTAGACTGTTGACTCAACTGCCAACAAAAAAATTCTCGTCGCATTCCAGCATGTCGTTATTAAATGAAAAAGTCAAATTAAATTAACAGATTATCAAAAAAAAAAAAACTCACAAAGAACAGAACAGTTACACCGGATCCAATTAAATGCAGAAATCTATAACTGAATGCTAGATAAGGTTCCAATTCTTGCGTAACCGGATTTATTCGCATTGTTTTCGCTCTTTTAACACGTAACTGATATTCAGGCCTAACTGTTTCCTGAAGTAAATAATTCATTTAATCACGAAAAGTTTAAAAATTTCTGTGTTCAGAAACGATGGAACTAATGGTGCTTGTAAACATAATCAATACATTCAGCCAACGATTCTTATTAAGAAAAAAGAAATAGGACTTAATGCATTAAAGAAAAGAAAAAAAAAAGAAACAAATTTTAATAGAGAGAAACTTTGCAGCAGTATAGCGTTTACTAGAATGATTATAAGAATGATGTTTACTACTACTTATTAAAGTTGACGAGCTACTGAAAAAGCTTAGCGAGAGTGATACTTTGACCCACAGTTTATTAATGCGTTTTGAGCGAATTATAGAGAATCTGAATATGAATTTTTACTAGAAATATTTATTATAATCTTCAAAGAAAAAAAACTGGAAAACCTCATCAACTTCAAAATCAAGCAAGCCCCATTTCCAGGCCACTTCAGCGTGATATCTTTTCCAACCTTCCAGAAACAGCGTTGCAAATACACTCATCAAGGCGGCAAATATAACAGTCGACGTATTATCAAACACATATGACAGCTGCAACTCAATAAGTTACAAATAAATGTATAAAGTAAAAAAGGATCGTCTAAGTTATCAACTATATTTTACTAGTAAAATGAAGAGACAAAAAAAGCACATAATACTGAAAAAATCAAGCTAAAAAAAATATAAGCAGGAATTGAAAGAAATAGCAAAGAATTCAGTGCTTGATTCAGTAGCTTGCTTCGGAACAACTTTTTAACTTCACTGTAAAATAATCAACAAGCACTTAGACAACACCTTTGAGTATATACAGCTAGAATTAAGTCGAGTGTAATCACAATACTTGTCACACGTTGGACATAATATTACTTCAGCACCGATTCCATCACTACCACAAATGTCGTTACTGAAACAGCACAATGTAGTTTCAAAATCCAAGAAACCCTAAATCTTAGGACTCAAATTTGCAATTCACTTAAAATGTAAAAAGTTCTTTAATCAATGGAAAATGCTCTAAAACTCATCTCAAAAATATAAAATTGATAGACCTGTCGCCAAATTCTGCTCCTCATTTTTAACTGTCTATAATTTCCTCAATTTCCAGTAAGTCCAATCATCAAATTAACTACCCTATCAAATAAAACTTCAGGAATGCCACCACTTACAAACAATTATAAAAAAATAAGATCTAAGATTTAAAATGCTACCTGTATAAGAAAGATCTCAATAAGTGTTCTACTTTGCCCCAATTTTGAAATTTTGGTGGAAAAGATCGACGTATGTGTAAAAATGAATAAAAACAAATCGGAATTTAAAGAGAAATAAAAATAAACCTCGGTATATCCTCTGAAATCGTTAATATTCCATAAGTAAAACATAAAATGCCGATAATAGAAGCAAGTACTAAAATTTTCGTATAATAACCTAACCAAGCAAAATACCATCCAACTTTTGAGCCGAAATATTTCCTACAAATATCAGTCTAACAAATCCTGTTGTCAAACTTCCAAAGCAAAGCAAATCCCATCCTATAACCACCAAAGATCAACTCTACACCGACAACGTTTATTATTAAATCTGATTTCTAGTGAATGATTAAAACACCGTATACGAAATTAATTCTGACGCTAGCAGTAATAAAAACGAATTTCATTTAAAATCGATTTCGATTTATAAAATGCATTAATCCAATTTCCGTTCTTGAATCAAGACAATGAGAGTTGAGCATAATTTCGGTTTTGCCTATGGAAATCCTAAAACGGAATGAGATGGAGAAAAGAATTATTAGATCTGATTTCAAATGAGAAAATTCATTCTGACGTCAGTAGCAATAAAAGGAAACTTCAGTTGAAATCGATTTCAATTTATAAAATGCATTAATCCAATTTCCGTTTTTGAATCAAAACAATGAGAATTGAGCATAATTTTGATACGGAAATCCTAAGACGGAATGAGATGGAGAAAAGAACAGTGACATACTTTATTAAAGAAAGTGGCTGATATTTATAAATGTTTGTAATACGAGCCCAATTCCAGTATAAAAATTCACGATCAGTACTTTTATCAACACTATATTCATTCCAACCACAGTCCTAGAATAAAAATAAATGACAAAAAATTATTGCCGAATAAAACATACATAAAAAAATAAAACATACACTGAATTACAAAAAGCATCAACCATCCAACCAACCAAACATTTCTGTCCAAATAATAGGTTATAAAAGTTTGCACCTGAATATTTAAAAGTGTCCTGAATAATCAAAATTTACCTCATGCAATGGAAAAGCTGATGTATATGTATTATTCTTGATCAAACGTTGTATGCCAACGCGATACTTTTCAGCTTCATGTGTGTCGTACCTAGTTCGAATTAATAAATCATACACTAACCGACTTCGTTCCGAGTCGTCAAAAAATGTGTCCGGATTTTCGTGACCAACATAACTATAGAATATTACACAAATAAGTCCTACAATTCACATATACCAAGAAAGAGCTAATTATATGGACTACAAAAATAAAGCCTTTTCCTACTGAATCACATATAAATTTATTTACCTATCTTGATTCTTCTTATACATCAATGTCTAAAAGTAGAGATTTTAAATAAAAAACAAATAAGAATACCATTCCAAATGGGCAGCCACAAAGGGGGCTGTAAAATAATTTGGTTCTTTTAAACGTTCATTTGTCTTCTCATCAAATGTTAAAAAACGAAATCTTTTCATAAATTTGTCCAATATGCCTTCCAAAACGGTTCGTTCCTGAAATAAAGAAACTAATATTTTGCAAATTCAATGTAAATAAGTCTTTCATTGACAAGAAAAAATTCCTCAATGTCATAAATCTGGCGTTTTAAAAAATAGTTTATGGGAAAACTTCTTGATATTACTAACTCCTGTAGATTTAAGCTATAAGGAAACGGCAAGGAAACATGTGAATATCATCTGTACCTTTTCAATAAAACTATATTGCTTGAGACAAAAATAAGGTCCCAATAATGTTAATTTTAAATAATAAAATAATTTTATAACTGAACATTATAATTCATTTTCACATCGCAAAAATCAACTAACTTTCACATCGCTTTGCAATACTGGCATTTTCAAACAAAGACTTTCAGCTTGTTTCATTAGCAGCAAAAATGGTGCATGAACTAATACAAAGTGAGTCCTTTTGCAATACTGAAAACCACATGTTTCAAAAACTGAATGAATTTATATGAATCACTTTTTATAAGTAGCTGTTTGCCTATTTTACATCGAAAAATTCTCCATTTGCGTAGAAATTTTCCAGTAAATGAAACTTGACATTCCTCATTAATTAGAAGTTCAGCTTCATTTTCAACCTCAAACTAAGTACTGAAAATTGCAACTAAAAAAAATGTGATATGAAATCTTTCCGAAAATACGCCGTAAATGTTCGAAAGTTAGAAATAAGGGACAAATTGTAAAAACCATACCTTTCCTTCAACATGCTCTAATTCCAATCCTAGCTCCCTTAAATTCGCCTCGTACTGTAAGCGTTTATTTACTTTTTTCTCCTCTCTTGATCTTGCATGAGCGCTCTATAACAATACCATGTAAGATGGCTTTTGAAACTGGTATTTGCAGAAATTCTGATAGCTTCTCGAGAAAATATGCTCATTATTTTGACCCATATAGTACCGTATTGTCGGTCCAGTATGATATAACTACAACTGATAGCATGCTTGCGGAATTGTGTAGCAAGCTGTAAGTTTTAAAATATCAGTAAGTTAAAATTGGAAGAATCCCGCCTAAGAAAATGAAATCGAGAGTGAGTAACAAACCATTAACAAATATATTTAATTTCAAAGCACTGCTTACATCTTCTACATCGTTTATACTACTCGATTCTTCTTCACCATCCATCTCACTACATTCGTAAGTCAGAACGTAATCAATTTTCCTTTTACCATCTTTAAAATATGTAGTCTGGAAGTTATTTCGCTGAGGCTTCGAAATTTCATCCTTTCTCTGGAAGATTCACAAATTCATAAACAGTTGTAGCAGTTACTAGATTATGAATAAAGCATATTTTACCTGAGGATGCCAAAAAATGTCTGTAATAATCTCTATCATTCTCCACTTCTCTATAACTTATAAAAATACCATTTTTACTATTTACTATTTTCCATCCTCATCTGCTGATCCGATTACAAATCCCCTAATTTTTTATTCACTGAAGAAACATTTTACATTACACAGATCATGAAAATGACATTCTTACCTCCTTTTCTGCTAGTTCAGTGATATTCATTATCAGTGACTCACACTCAAAACTATCGCTACGCTGCAAGCAATGTCTTCGATTATTGCTAAGCGACGTCCCTATAAAAAGAATCTTAATTTATACAGCGAGTAATCTGCATAAATAATCTGCTGCAGCACTTATTTTATGCATTCAGTATATGATGGAAGGAACATGATCAGTAATACTCATTTAAAAAATTGTATGAGAAAATATGATCAAAATATACAACAGCATAAAAAATTAAGCAAAGAGAAAAAATAATATGCCAATAATAAACCGAAATGTGCGAAATCAAAAATGCATAAGTGTTAACAAAGCAAAAAGAAAAGAACGAAAATGTACCAGCAAAACAAAATTATTCCCATTGATATCAAATACATTCACTACCATTTTAAAGCCTTATTCATAGCAATAGAAATGCACAACGATTGCTATAAGCGTTATGTTTTTTTGGAGTGAAAAAAACTCTTACTTGTAAATACTTACCACAATTCATTGTAGCAATCATATGTAAAAGTTCTAGAATTGTCATAATATTATCAACTTTTTACCGATGTTCCACCACTTGTGCTTTACCCATATTTAATAAGAAAACAACTAGTTGAGCATAAAATGATAATGAAATAATAATTCGAGATTAATTTAAGATGTTTGCATTTTTTTACTACCTTGAATATGAGAACAGTGCAATTTTTATGCAAGTGGAAGAAATTACTGTAGTAAATATCGCTTTAATGTGATGCAGAGGGTTATAGTGATAACAAAAACATAAATGGAAATTTAACATATATTGTTGCTATTTTAAATGTTGAAACAAAAAAAAAAAAAAACTAAATGAAACAAAATTAAAACATAATAAAATTAAAAAAAAAAGAGAACGCACTTAAATAAGGGAAAGTGGACTATTTAAATTGCATTCGGATAATTCATCGCATAAAATTTCAGACAGTGCATGCTCAAAAAAATTGGCTCATTCCCGATGCGAATGAATCATTTCTTTTATGATGAAATCATTTTTTACGAGGAACAAATCGACACCGATACTTCGTTTAAGGGTAATTATTTCTGTTATCTTCAAACTGTTTTATATCTTTGACTATCTTCTGCTTGTAGATTACTCATTGCTTTGTTCTATAAAATGCTTGTTCCGCTTGCTCTAAGATAGATACACCATTATAAAAAACTAACAATCATAAAAAATCAGCAATGAAACCATCCAAGTTATCATTACTGCAATAAATTTGCTAACTCAGCAGTTAAGTAGTAATTAACGAATATTTTCTTTCTATAAAATGAAAACTCAGTCTGCTTTTAATACAAACAAGTCAGAAATATAAGAGATAATTTCCTATCAAATACCTAATTCCATGATGGCTTGCGCCGGTGATGTTATGTCGTCATATATTCATCCATCATGGTTCAAGCCTGTAACACAGTTGAATGTAAGCAAACGATAACCAAAAAATTAAAAAGGTGCAAAGAACTCGACAAAAATTAAGTAAAAATTGACTGATAAAGCTGAACTCTACAAATAAGGTATAATATTAAAAAGTAGTTCAGAATGATCAAAGCTGAACAAAAGTCAATAATTTAGTGTAGTAAATTACCTGAAAGAAGTCACTTACAAATGTATAATCAAATAAAATTTTGAACAATGGCAACATGAACAGCAAAAAACAAATTATATAAGAATCTCATTTCCAAGCAATATTCTATTCCATTCCATTCCACTTCATTATATTCTAATTGTATTCTGTTCATCTTAGCTTCCTTACTAGCATTCAGATTGAATTTAATAATAAATTAACAGACTGAAGCATGCAAGAAAATTACAAATTCCAGTAAATGAGTAGTCTCGTACACTACAACAGATAAGCATTTATATTCATTATTATTATGTATAGCAAAAAATTACCATCCATTTATATTTCTTCTTATATTTCACTTCTTATTCCCGTATTCTGCTATACAAGTTTAACGCAAATTATGTAAATGTTATTAATAAAACGTCAACTTAGTCTAACACCTTTTTCATCCGCTACACGTCAACATGTTTCGACACGATATCAGAAGTAAACATCACACGTCCACCCACACACCTACATCACGTACGCCTCACGTAATGCCGTACTCGTTTGTAGTCCACGGATCGGTTGGTGAGAAGTCATTGTGCAAACTGAACGACTCAACAACATATGAATAGAAATATAATACGTACGGACGTGAAGTGCCCATAATATGGTGGAAGTAATACGTTGACACTTATTTTAAACAGACGTAAGTTTTATTCAATCATTTAATGACAAGTAAATGCGAAGAGAGAGAGAGAGAGGTAGCGATATTCCAAACTTTTAGATTGATTCGAAAGAAACTGAAAGTAATAATAATTAAAGTGTGATAGCCATTATATGATGATAATATTCTATAATATCATCTGAATAAGCATTCAATTGCTATGCTAATAACTAGTGCTATTTCTTTTTGCTAAAATATTTTTCTGGTTTGAGAATAAAAATAAATATGACAAATGACAATCAACCGGAATTCGACAAATCATTATAATCCGTTGCAAATGAATTTCCCATTGTTGTGTCATATTTTGTTGAAATTATTGACACCAACGATGAATCAGTTTTTGCTACAATAATACAACAATTATTTCATTTCTTTTATTTTATCAAAATAAACTGTATTTTAAATTGTTAGTAAAATATGAATTTACATCTGTCGCACGTGTATTCATTCTTTAGGTTTCATAATATTAGTATGTTATAAAATTAAAAATTTTAAATGTTGAAATTTTAAATTGGAACTTGCTAATTGCATTAATTCTAAGCAAAAAAGTTTCTCAAGAATTTTTGAAAAAAAAAATAGATTAGAATAGTCAGATTAAAGCAAGTAATACCTGTATTCAATTCCTGAGCTTCAAGATATTCAAAAATAGTACTCCCACTAATACCTGGAAATATGCAAGAAATAAAACAAATAATTTAAGCAGTTTTACTTTCTATCTTCAAGAAAAATGATTGATAGAGCAGAATAAAAAAAAAGTTTGATGCATACTGCCGGAATCGAATTTACTATTATCCGAGAATGCAAGCAATTCTTCCATGTTATCAAGATACTGAACCGGTATTACGGATTTCTCTGTAGCAATCGAATCTTCAATGTATATATGTAAGTTTAAAAAATAAGTTTAATATATATAAATTTAAAAAATGATATATTTGAAAAATGAATTTAGAGAGATTTTGCTAATCTTTCATCTAAATATTATTTATGTAATAAAACGAACGCTAAAAACTGTAATTTACCATTATCAGATGATGAAAATAGCTTAAATTCATCGTTGATCATTTCATTTTCTCCAACTTAATTATTTATTAAATTAAATCAGTGATAGGTATTTGTTTTTAAAAAAAAAAGAAAATAAAGTTATTTAATTAATTAATTGTAGAAAATTTAGACAAATCTAATAGAGAAAATAAGTTAAAAAATAATAGATTGAACATTAAAAAAAAAGCTTACTTTGTTCAATAAATTCTAACGAATCACTAGCATAGAGAGTACGAAATTTTGGTGGACGTCCTAAATTTGAAATTATCTTAAATTCAATTATGATTTTCACATAACTAATATTAATAGTGCATAATAACATTAAACGTACGTGTATAAATATCACTGGAAATAGCATTACGTGTATCAACGCTATAAATATTATCAGTGTTCCATGATATTTCTTGTGCTGCAAAAATATATTCATCTATTTTATTTCTTTGAAAATAATCTAATTTGTCTTATATTTCATTTTTTTAAAGTAATAATCTCTTCAATATAATTCTAATATTATCAAAATAAAAAAATAAAGTTTTAAATATGAATTAATTTTAAATCTTCAATATAATGTTAATATTATCAAAATAAAAAAATAAAGTCTTAAATATGAATTAATTTTAAATCTTCAATATAATGTTAATATTATCAAAATAAAAAAATAAAGTCTTAAATATGAATTAATTTTAAATCTTCAATATAATGTTAATATTATCAAAATAAAAAATAAAGTCTTAAATATGAATTAATTTTAAATCTTCAATATAATGTTAATATTATCAAAATAAAAAAATAAAGTCTTAAATATGAATTAATTTTAAACACTTTAAGTATCACAACTTTTTTTTAAGTAATTATTAATAAAATTATTAGCATTGCTTATTGACTGTACAAAATGTATAAAAAATTTATCACTAATTCAAATTGACTTTATGATAGAATTATGAGATGCTAAATATACATTTGAAATTGTTTCAAAACTGATAAAATGGATTAAACTTTCTTCACTCTCGACATCACTCTCGACATCATTTTGGCGCTTTTTAAAAGCTGCTCTTAGCATAATAATTTTTGCGCTAACTTTTTTTTTCATCTTTTCAACTTAATTTGCCAAATTCTCAGAAAAAAAAAACATTTATAGCATTGTTGTAAGTTTAACATTTCTTTCTTTCATTTTCTTACTTTTATAAAAATGAATTTCAAATATACATTCTACATTTCAATGTCAATGTGATTACCGAGATAATCTCACCTGTGTTTACTTCTTTATCGGAAGTCTCTAAATTACCTGCAAACATTGTAATAAAAAATACAAATAAACAAAATAAAAAATAAAATTCAAAATACTTTTAGATTACAACCAAATATTTAAATTTAACTGGGACAGTCATAATTTTAAATATCATAATTCTCATTTTTTTTTTTTTAATATTGTCAAATTGATCATAATTTTAAATAAATTACTGATATCGAAAATTTCAGACTGATTGTCATTTTCAATTTCAACATTTGTTTCAGATTTTGGTTCTGTATAATCAGAATAGATTAGATGCATCTCGCGACCTAAAATTATGTTTTTTTTTTTTTGCAGTTTTCATATATTATTTTTAAATTGTTCCAATTTTAAATTATTTAAATTATAACAAAATGTCTTATTCATCTTGGATAAATGTAACTTTCAATAAGAATTTTTTTTTCTTATCTACTGCATTCTTTGTCATAAAAATGACACATTTAAATTACATTCAAATTTAAATATTTTTTGCCACTTGTCAATTGCTAAATAATTTCGCATTTGTGTTTATGTGTTTAAATCTTTAATTATATATATATGTTTAAATCCTTAATTTTATTTTTTTAATTTTGTTTATTTTGTGTTTAAATCTTTATGCTAATTACTATGTTTAAATCTTTAAGCCATTATGCTAATTACTTCCTTTTTCTCATACATTCTTTATCTTTTTCATATTCATTATTAATAAACAAATTAATTTTTAAAAATATATTTTATATAATTGAAATTATAGATGGTAATATTTTCAAATATTACAAAATCAATAAACATAAGATTGCAATAATACAAGCAGAAACATTTGATCAACATTTTGTATGAAAGAAAACAAAGAAAAACAAATTCATACCTTCTTCTCGAATTTTCCAAAGTGCTGGATTACCTGAAATTAATTAAAATTTAATTTAAATAATGAATGGTTGAAAAAAAAAAATGATTAAAAATTTTTGCAATAAAAAGAAGAAAGAAATAGCTAATACCAAAAATAGAGCACCATGGACGTCCATCATATTCGACATCTGTCTCTGATGGTGGTTCATCATAATCCGAATAAATTAAATGAACTTCACGACCTCAAACATAACTCAACTCTCTCTCTCTCTTTTTTTTTTTTTTTTTAAAAAAGAATTAATAAAATTGTTAATGATTTCTTGTATACTTTAAAGTTATTGTTTTAAAAAGAAATTTTTTAATAAAACATTTTATTAAGAAAGTAAAAATTATTATCATTATGAATTAAAGAATTTATGCATAGTGTATATAATTTCTTGCAAAAAAAAAGTGGTTATTCAATTCCGGTTTTGTACCGGAATTGCTAAAATACAAAATGTAATATGTTAGACAAACCATCAATTTTTCTATTATTAAATATTTGACTCAGATCAACACTTGTTTCAGATGGTGGTTCATCATATTCAGAGTAAACAAGTGATACTTCCTTGCCATCTTAAATTTTATTTATTAAGAAATAAATGTTTTTTTTTTTTTTTATGCAAATCAATACTTTTTCTATAGGTATTTGGTTGTTACTGATCGATGATTATCGAATTGTCGCCTAAATTTAATTTTTGGTTTACCTATTGGTGACAATAACTTTTTTTTTTGGCACCTTAATTTGGTCGTCTATTAATCAATGTTACTAACTGATAGTTAGTTGTTTATATAAATTTCAATCAATTTTTTTGGTGTAGCTTTCTTTTTCATTTTCATAAATCTCAAATACAAATAATATAATACATTTGAAATTTTTTTTTAAATGATTCCACTTTAAATATTTCATTTTCTTTTTTTTTTTGTTTCAAATCAGAAATTGAAATTTTAAATTTGAAGCAAAAATTCTTGAAAGAAACTATTATATTCCATGCTTTTTTTTTTTGTTTCAAATCAGAAACTGAAATTTTAAATTTGAAGTAAGAATTTTGCTTCAAAGAAAAAGAAACTATTACTAAATTAAAATTTTAATAAAGAACTATATTACATGGAGGTGAGCAATAATTATTAGTTCCATGTGGTGCATGATTGTAATAAAAATTCATTTCATCACCTGCTGAAAATTATTCTTTTTATTTTATGCAAAAAATATCAAAGAAAAAGTAAATTTTAAGGATGAAAATTGTTATATTTACTCGATTTTGAACTTTGCCACCAATATTGTTTGGCTCCTTCGATTATCTCAACATCAGTTTCAGATGGAGCACAATCGTATTCTGAGTATATTAGATGGACACCTCGAGCTGAAAGAGCATATTGTTTTTTTTTTTTAAATTTAGTCTCTCTCTCTCTTTCTCTTTCCCTCTCTCTCTCTCTCTCTCTCTTGTAAGGCAAAAGTATTACTGGTATTTACTTATACCATTATTATGATCATCCAAACATTCTTGACTTTCCTTACTGACCGATAATGAGGAGTGCATATTATTGAAATTGTAAAACAACCGTCTAGGATACATATAAAAGAGAGCAATGACAAAAATCAGAATAATTCATTCATTTTGTAATTTTTTCTTTTGCAAAGTTTCCGGAATTTCGAATTAGTGACCTAAATAGTAGTTTATATTACAAAAGATTTAATGGAAACAGTTTCATTCTTGAAATTTTAGAAGCGAAACAGTTTGTCTTAGAATGGGTGTTACCACAATTATTATAATTATTGCTGTTGTTGCTATTTTATATTTCTTTTTTTGTCACGGAAAACAGGTTCGCTTTCATTCAGGATGATGATCCTCCTTTTTCCTGAAATTATCTTCCATTCAAGAGGATGAGAATCACTCCTTTTTCCTGAAATTATCTTCCATTCAAGAGGATGAATTACTCAGAGCTCTGTGATCACCACCTTCCCCGAAACAGTTTCATTCTTGAAATTTTGAAACACCATTCAGATGATGAGAATCACTCCTTTTTCCTGAAATTATCTTCCATTCAAGAGGATGAGAATCACTCCTTTTTCCTGAAATTATCTTCCATTCAAGAGGATGAGAATCACTCCTTTTTCCTGAAATTATCTTCCATTCAAGAGGATGAGAATCACTCCTTTTTCCTGAAATTATCTTCCATTCAAGAGGATGAGAATCACTCCTTTTTCCTGAAATTATCTTCCATTCAAGAGGATGAGAATCACTCCTTTTTCCTGAAATTGATTTTACAAAGGATTTGCTTGGATAGAACAAAGACAAGAATGACATATAACTCAATGCTGCAGAATAATTTGAAATTTGAATGACAAAAAAATGGAACAAAAGATTCTTTTCAGAAAAGCGCATTTGTTCAAGAGAATGCGGCATCATCAAGTTCCGATTTCCAAGGCAACACTGCAACTGCAGCGGTACTGTTTTTATCAATTTCGACATTTAAAAATTTATTTTTTTTTTAATTTGTTTTTGATTCCTATTTTAAAATGAAAAAGAGACAGTAAAAAAAAAAAAAAAAGAAATTGTCATATTGACGATCCCTTCAAGTTGTTTTAGTTTAATTTTATTATAATTATTGTTGTTGTTGTTATTTTTTATTTTCACAAAAAAATAGGTTCGCTAAAACTTTTTGCATCTTTATATTGTATTATCTTTTAGAATTCAAAATATTTAACTCCAACGATGACACGAGAACGTTCCATTCACATTGGACCAACTTAACTTAAAAGTTTATCAAATATTTTCATACTAAGGTATATAAAAAAAAAAAAATTTAACATTATGCAAAAATATTGATGAATAAATGATATCATGTAGTGGATGACGAAAAAATAATTTTTCAAGAAACTGATTCAAAAGTATTGAAACCCATATTTGCATTTGTCGGTGATTGAGCTTGATTACTGAAAATTCATTTTTTTTTTTTTCAGATAATATGGGAACATTTTTGTTTATTAATAAATTTAGGTAATATGGAAACATTTTTGTTTATTAATAAATTTAGGTAATATGGAAACATTTTTGTTTATTAATAAATTTAGATAATATGGGAACATTTTTGTTTATTAATAAATTTAGGTAATATGGAAACATTTTTGTTTATTAATAAATTTAGATAATATGGAAACATTTTTGTTTATTAATAAATTTAGGTAATATGGAAACATTTTTGTTTATTATTAAATTGAGGCATGTCATATCATAGAAGAATTATTTTAAGTGATAAAATTTTTGTATATTATGATTAAGTATAACTCAATTTAAATAACTCAAAATTTGTCTAAATTTACATAGGTAATTTGTGTTGATATTAAAATCAATAACTGTACAAATTTATCGAAATACTTAGTTAACTTCTAACTTTCATTTTTTCAAATAGATTAAGATATTATTAAAGATAAAGTTATTTGACATACTTACCTTAACGGACAAATTTTTTTACAGCAGCAAAGTACTCCATCGAGTGTTTTTACATGAGAATATGTGATATTATGTATACCGTTACAGGTATAAGATCGAAAATTCCATAATTTGGCATGTTTGCAATAATTTAGTACTAATAATTTTGGTTTTTCTTTTATTAATTTTGGTATATCATCGATACATCCACGCTTAAAAGATTTGGCAGTGCAAAGTAATGGATGAAAGGATAAAGTTTAAAATATTGTTTTGGGAATTATCAAAATAGTTTGATTTAATTATCTAATTTAAGAATAAAATGTGCTAATAGTTTCTTCTATCTTGAAATAAATTATTTGGAAATACTAATTTAGTTTCACATCAATTTATGATAAAATTTAACTACTTGGTTTGTTAATATAATTTATGAAATTACTCCTCAGTAGTTGACTTATGTAAATAGAACTTATCAATGATTATAAAATTTCAGAGTTAAATTTTTAATTACTACTTGTTTTTTACAAACATCACTTTTTTTTTTTTTTTATAATTTATTTATAAAATTTAAGCTTACTTGTCTTTCACCATCAAAAGAATGAAAATCAAAGCATCCTAAATTCGTTCTACAATTTATTCTCTGTAAATCATCGGTGATATAACATTTTGAGTAACCAGATGGTTCTCTATCTCCTGCATAGCGATGTAATGTTAGTGGTAACAAATGTTCGATTAAATTTGGAAAACCTAAAAAAAGAAAATTTTTTTTTTTTTTTAAATTATCGGAGCTTCCCTTTAATCATAAGGTAATATCTTTTAACTCATGCATCTTTGATAATAAGTCACAAAAAGACTTATATTTACCTAATTACCTTTTCATTTTTTTTTTTTAAAAAAAAACTAAAAAAAATTCAATTTAAAAAAATAATGTTTAGTTGACCGTTGCATGATTTAGTTGAATTTGATTGACATCGTTGCACAAATGTATTAGTTTGATGACGTTTAAACGTTGTAAGACGTTTCGAATTTTTAGCTTCCGCAGCTGTTTTTGATGGACGTAACGCATATATACCAAAGGAAATACTTTCTCTGCTAATTTTAATAAAAGTAACACAAATTGGAGTACTATTTGTCATCTAAAATTGAAATATTTATGTTACTTTTGTTAGAAAAAAAAAACAAAAACAATAATTTGAGATATTAGAAAAATCTGAACATAGAATTAAATTAGTAGTAATAAATGATTAATAGTAATTAATGAAGAATTAAATTAGTAGTAATTAATGAAGAATTGAATTAGTAGTAAATAATGATTAATAGTAATTAATGAAGAATTAAATTGATAGTGATTAATGAAGAATTAAATTAGTAGTAATTAATGATAATGAGTATGTAGTAAAGGTAATATATCAAAAAGTTGAAAAAATTTAAAAATTTCACCACAATAATATGATACTCAAAAAAATTGATTATGTTAAAAATATAAATCTCAAATGGTTCCCACTAAAATTTAACTTAAGATTTTGAAATTACTCAATAAATTCCGCATTTTACTAAAATTACAACTTATCATTCATTTTATTAAAACACCACTTCAGATAAGTGAATACAAATTGGCTAAGATTTACCACTCTTTTGATTAAAATACCCGTGAAATTAATTTTTCGGGTAACTGAATACAAATCAATAACTAATGGCCCATTTTGATGATATGCTTCATAGCAAGTTGGCCTTTTAAGAGTATTTTTGTACTGTTTGAAATAATCAGCCATATTTTCATCACAAGTTTGCTGCAATGAAAGATACCTGTCTCCTCATTTACCTTACAATAATATAACGCTTAAGAAAATTTATTAAATTGAAGATATAAACCTCAACCATTCCAATTAAATTTAAAAAAAAAAAATGAATGGAAAATAGGAGAGAATAAAATCAAATTTTTTTGAAGCCAATAAAGATTGGATTTGATTGTCTTTTTTCAAAATAGATAAAAAACCTTCCTCTAATAATTGAAGAAATGATTTTCTTTTTTTTTTTAAGATTTTGTTTATACATTTTGTTATTACTCTAAAAGTTACTATAAAAAATTTCTATAATTTAAGAAAAAAAAATTTTTTTATAACTATAATAGTTATTACTCTAAAATTTTTATAAGTAATTTTATTAAAATTTCTATTTATATAATTTTAAATTTCGTACAGTTTCTTTTTCTTTTCGTAAATAACTGAAAAATAAATCCATTAAAAGACTGAGATATGTCCTTCGTTGTTTACATTCACATTTAAAAAACTGATAAGTGATAGGTTGATGGATGTAATCTTTTCGATGACAATTTTGAGATCTTAGTGGAAATGTATTCAATATTTCACAAATCAAATGTCTGTAATAAAAAAGTTTTAAATGATGAAAAAAAAAATTTTTTTACTAAATATTTGTCGAAAAAAAAAAAAAAACTAATTTTGATTTTAAAATTGAAAATAATTTTACAGTGAAATAATTAATAATTTTGATTTTAAAACTAAAAATAATTTTGCATGAAAATAAGTTAGTATTGACGAAAGAAAGAAATTTGTTGATCAATGTTTGTCTTATTTGAGCATTTCTTAAACAAATGTAAAAGTCATTTCAAATTTCCATATGAAATGAAAATTCATTTATCTAACATTCATCTTTTAATAGCTAAAGTTTATGTGAACTATTTTAAAATGTTGTTAAAATAATTTGAAATTAACCCACAAATAGATAAGAAGCAGTTAGTTAATATTGATAATTTTAAATTCCAAAAATTTAAAAAAAAATTTTTTTTTTTTTTCAAAAATTAAACTTACTGATCTGAGAATTCCTTACGCGCTACTCGATAGATCATTTCTCGCTGATAAGAAACTCCAGGAATCATGAGAATTTCTTGCTCGAAATGATAATCAAATGATCGCCAACATACTGTTAAATGATAAAAATGCATTCATATCAAAAGTTTCACTTTTGCTTTTTTTTTTTCTTTCCGGAAATTTAATAAAAATTTAAAAAAATTATTGAACATACTTTCTGATAAATCAGCATTTGTGCGTTTTAAAAAAATTTGTGTCAAATATGCTATGGCTTTGATGTGACATTGAAATATAACACTAAAATAAAATGAATTCATCATATAAATTTTAAGACTGTTTTTGTTTTAATGAATCATCATTTCAATCATTTTTGAATTTCCTATTAAAATTACTAAAATTGAAAAATAAAACAAAATTTTACTGAAGATTTAAATCTGCTTATCTTTTGAATTTTAAAGATATGAAGCAATTATAATTTGAATTTTACCAATGATTGATCGATGGATCAATAATTACATATATAAAAAGAAAACTATTGTAAATTCATAATTACTTTTATGAACTAAAGCAGATTTAAAAGCTTAAAGTTTCAATCATATTGCAAATAAAATTTCAAATTTATTTTTAAATAAATTTTCAAAAAGATACAAAAAATTAAAATTAAAGTAATCAAACTTGTGAAAATCTTTTGGTTTTAGACTAATTTGATATTTGCTTTTTGAAGGATTGCTATTGCCCCAATGATTACATAAATTTCCACGATTACAACAGCACTGATATTGTGCTTGAATATTTGATACGTATAATAAATCATTGAGACATTCAGGTCCAATTAGTTGACAAAAAACACTTTCAATTGAATTACATTCTTGTTTTGTATCTGCTTTTGCATCAAAAATTATACTAAAATGTTTAAAAAAATTTTTTAAAAACAATTTTGAATTATCATTTTGTTTACTTATACTTTGATTTTTTTATTCTAACTTACATAATAATATAAAAGTTTTGATTAAAAATTCTCAAATAAGATGCAACAAAAATATTTTAAAATAATTTTGAGACATAAAGATGAACTTGTTTGACCTTCAACTATTGATTTTTGTTCTAACTTATGCATATAACTTAAAGTAGGATGACGAATTGCTTTAATTTATCAAAAATTAATGCTACGTTTATCTGTAGCTCATTTTTTAATAAAATTTCAATTTGTTAAATGTTGTCTATTCCATAAAATTTAATATTAACTTTTGATGGCTTCTGATATCTGTTCAAACATATCACAGAACATTTAAGCAATTTAAATTATTTTTCTAAAATGAGATAAATCAGCTAATCGCTGTCAATCTAAAACTTTTAAAGAAATCATTAGATCAGTGACATGAAAAGCTTTTCCAGACGATCCATTCACACATATTTCCGGTAAGTTACCGTACCGACCGCAAGATTAGTCGGAGAGAGAGAGAGAGAGAGGAGAGAGAAATAAGCATAAATTGTAACCTATAACCTTTCTGTTTGACCATGTTTAAATTCGATCCAAAAGTCAGCGATACAGTATTCCGTACGCACTGGCAGGTCTTTCCGTCTCAATCGGTCCAGTTCCGCAGACGTATTAATATCTCGAATGCTGTACACCATGAATCGTCCAACGGCACAGTGCCAAAGGGGAACATTACGAATGGATGAAATTTCTTTTTGGTCACCTCGAAAAGTGAATGAATGAATGGCTTTAATGATTTTTTACTACTAAAATAATAATAATAATAATAATAATAATCTATTTTCTAGCTAATATTTGTACTGAAATTAAAATTGAAGTCAAATTATAATTATAATTTTTATTTAGCTTTTTTGATCTTTTATAAAATGTCATTTTTCTACAGCAATGTTCAAAATACTCTATGAATGTTTTTTTTGAAAACACTGAAGAAGATATTTTCAAAAATTAATATAGTTAAACTTTGTTCAGTAAATAATGAATTCAGTTGATATTGGTGACATAATTATGTGAATGAATTTTTTTTTTTTTTAATTTGTTTATCTTAGTCTTCAGCTACTACTATAAAGGAAAACAAGAATTTCGTGTAAACAAAATGCTAATGAATTTTTCGTTTTAAAATTTTTAAATTAATATTTTACTATGACAATTGATTGTAACACTATCATCATCATCACTTGCTATAAAGCTTACCAAATGTCATAGGTTTACTGTAAATGAAATCTCGATATGTCCAAGAGCTTGTTGGCGTATCCAACGTATTTTTACGCAGTTCGTTAGCTAAAACAGAATTGCGAACTTCGATATTTGATTCCCATATTTCACGATTTGCTTTTACATTGCTCATCGATTTATTTGATATTGTGTATGCACAAAGTTCGGGTGTTTCATAGCAACAACAAAGTACAAAATATTCTTGTATCGATGCGTACCGGACGCATTCACCGTCCGGAATTTGTGAGACACTGTATGACGCACAAAAATGACCGCTCAATGCTAAGGATACCAGTGAATTCTGAAAGAAAAAAAAAGAGAGTTCACGTCGATTTTTATAAAATATTTTTTGGAAAATGAGATCTTATTTGAAGAATATTTAAAATCAGAAAAAAAAAACCAAAATGTATTTTTTTTTTAAATTTTTAAAATAATTTTCTATAATTTTAAGGAATAAACACTTGTTGAAACTGTTATTTTATCGTTTGACTTCGAAAACAAAAGAAAGATTTCTTCCTCTATCATACGTTACTTGATTGCATTATTTTTACGTCACGTCAATGTATCAACGAACTTCTACGTCACGTTAATGTATCAACGAACTTCTACGTCACGTCAATGTATCAACGAACTTCTACGTCACGTCAATGTATCAACGAACTTCTACGTCACGTCAATGTATCAACGAACTTCTACGTCACGTCAATGTATCAACGAACTTCTACGTCACGTCAATGTATCAACGAACTTCTACGTCACGTCAATGTATCAACGAACTTCACGTCAATGTATCAACGTATCAATGTATCAACGAACCTTCATCAAATCGAACTTACATCACGTTCCGAACTGCATTTGCACCAAAATGAACCTTCGCTGGAGTATTTACATCAAGCATAAATATGCATGACACATCGCTCATCTAAGTTTTAAATCTTTCTTAGATGCAAATTTAAAAATGCTAATATTCGTCTCAAAATAATTTCAATTTCATTTTAAGTTTATATAAAAATACGAATCCGGAAAATCACTTTACTTCTTTTTCACCATCAACATTAATGCAGTAACCGGAATCTTCCTGATATTTTCCTGATAATAGAGTATCATCTGAATCTTTAAGACGACGCCTGTAGAATTCCGTTGCAAGATCTTCGATTATTTCTTCATCGCTTTTTTTCTGCAACATTTAAAAATTATTAGAGAAAAGATTGAGCATGTTATGGATAGAAAAAAATGATTTGAAAAAAGACTAATCAAAAGTTATATCTATGTAAAAACATATAAATAAGAAAATATATATATACATAATATAAATAATTAAATATATATATAATATATAAATATAAAAAATAAAACGTGAATATAAACGTAAAAATATATAAACATAAATAATTGTATCATAATAATTATATCTATCAAACATATCCACGTAAAAACATATAAGAAAAAAATATATATAATATATAAGTAATTAAGTATATATAAATATAAAAAATAAAACGTGAATATAAACGTAAAAATATATAAACATAAATAATTGTATCATAATAATTATATCTATCAAACATATCCACGTAAAAACATATAAGAAAAAAATATATAATATATAAGTAATTAAGTATATATAATATATAAATAAAAAAAAAACGTGAATATAAACGTAAAAATATATAAACATAAATAATTGTATCATAATAATTATATCTATCAAACATATCCACGTAAAAACATATAAGAAAAATATATATATAATATATAAGTAATTAAGTATATATAAATATAAAAAAAAAAACGTGAATATAAACGTAAAAATATATAAACATAAATAATTGTATCATAATAATTATATCTATCAAACATATCCACGTAAAAACATATAAGAAAAAAATATATAATATATAAGTAATTAAGTATATATAATATATAAATATAAAAAATAAAACGTGAATATAAACGTAAAAATATATAAACATAAATAATTGTATCATAATAATTATATCTATCAAACATATCCACGTAAAAACATATAAGAAAAAAAAATATATAATATATAAGTAATTAAGTATATATAATATATAAATATAAAAAAAAACGTGAATATAAACGTAAAAATATATAAACATAAATAATTGTATCATAATAATTATATCTATCAAACATATCCACGTAAAAACATATAAGAAAAATATATATATAATATATAAGTAATTAAGTATATATAATATATAAATATAAAAAATAAAACGTGAATATAAACGTAAAAATATATAAACATATAAATAATAATAATTATATCTACGTGGCATATTCACGTAAATAAATTCACATTTGTTATGATTTACCTCATAATATTCACATGATTTACAACAATAATATATAGTTTCAACAAGAATTTTTTGTCGTTCTTCAATTTTAGCTTCATTTTTATTTACTTTTAAATCACTAAAATAGAATTTTTTGAATTTATTTTTTTTTAAAAAAAAAAAAAAAAAGAGAAAAGTGCATACAATGAAACGTAAATAATTATTTTAATCAGCATCTAATCTTTTTCTTATTTTTTATAAAAGTATTTTGTTTTAAATTTTAATACAAAATCAAAAATTCAAAATATTTTTTAATTATTGAAGAGTTAATTTTTTTTTTTATCACATATTCTCAAGTAATTAAATTTGCATTGAGTTTTAGCTTTTTCTTTCAAGAGAAATCAGTATGAGAGAGAGAGAGAGAGAGAGAGAGAAAAAAAAAACTTTACTTTTTGTAAAATTCAAATTAGAGAGATAAAATTTTGAAAAGATACTAACACGTAAGTAATATTGGTAGTAACATTCATAAATGAGAAACCATAAATACCGGAAGCAGCTTTACTACATTTCAGATAGATGTTATGTTCCAGCAAAGGTGACATACCATTCCGATAAAGGTGAAATTTTGTTGCTGTCACCAAATCAATTGCCCACCAACAAAATGGTTGCATAATCTTTAAAAATTTCATATAAAATACAAAGAATGGAAAATTTAAAAAAAAAAAAAAAAAAGAAATGAAAAGTAATACAAAAGCTTATAGCTTATATAACAAATTAAAATTCAATCTTTGAAATTGGTAGCAAAATTGTTGAATGGTTTATTAGGAAAATATTTTTGAATTTGAGATTTAAATGTCAATGTCACAAGAGGAGCGAACTAGAAAAGATAAATTTTAATTTAAGACATATTTATTAAAAGTGAGAAAATGAATTTGAATTAGATACTCAATAGGTAAGGTCAATTTTTTTTACTTATATGAAAGTATTAAAGGTATTTTTAAATTTGCTACACAGAAAGTAAATATTCGATTTAACGAAAAGTAAATGAAACTTACAGTTGGAGTACATCGTGCAGCACCAAAAATATTCTCTTTTTTAAATATTGAAAAACCTGAAAATGATTAAATCTAACTTTTTAATAGCATAAATTTTTTAAATTTTATTTTTCAATTTCAGTCAACAAAGAATTAAATTAAAAAAAAAGCGATTTAATTACTAAACTTGAAAATTACTTATGCTGAAAATGCAAAATAGAAATGTTAACTAATTACTGAATATTAACGCTCTTTTTATAATGATTGAATTTTTTTTTATTTTTAATTTTTCACTTTACTTTTTAGCTATCTTAGCAATTTTTTATCAAATTTAATACCTAAAATTATTAATATTGGAAATTTAGAAATCGGTAAAGCAGCAACCATTCCGGAATAAAATTAAATTACACAATAAAGTTTTTTTTATCAGAGAAATTATTTAAAACTTTTTTTTCTCGAAACAAATTTTTCTCGACACAGTTTTTTCATTTCAAACATATTTCGTTCATTTTTATGTATTTCATTTTTAAAATTCAAATTAAAGATAATAAAAAAATCTATTTGATTTTTTCTATAAGTAATCAAATTATCGTTCAAAAATATTTGCAAATTTTTTTTCCATTTCAGTACAGTCTCTTAGCTACAGTAATGCATCGCTTGTCATTCTGGTATAACCTGAAAGTATACGTAAATCACGTTACGTGTTATCATACGTCTGAATTATTTTAATAATATTAAAGCTTATAACTCAGTAACTTTTGAGATCTATTTGATTTTTTCTATAAGTAATAAAGTTATTGTCAAATTTGAATTCACTGCTAACTCTAAGAGACATTACCGCCACTTTAGGAGAAGCTATTGATGAACAGAGAGAAAATCCCTTTTCTCTATCAAGCTAAAAAAAGAGAAATTGATGTAAAATAGTAACTATTTCTTCAAATATGATATTTTGCTGTCCGGTGAGATTCACTGCTAACTCTAAGAGACATTACCGCCACTTTAGGAGAAGCTATTGATGAACAGAGAGAAAATCCCTTTTCTCTATCAAGCATTGATGTAAAATAGTAACTATTTCTTCAAATATGATATTTTGCTGTCCTTCACTGCTAACTCTAAGAGACATTACCGCCACTTTAGGAGAAGCTATTGATGAACAGAGAGAAAAATCAAAAGAGAAATTGATGTAAAATAGTAACTATTTCTTCAAATATGATATTTTGCTGTCCGATGAGATTCACTGCTAACTCTAAGAGACATTACCGCCACTTTAGGAGAAGCTATTGATGAACAGAGAGAAAATCCCTTTTCTCTATCAAGCTAAAAAAAGAGAAATTGATGTAAAATAGTAACTATTTCTTCAAATATGATATTTTGCTGTCCGGTGAGTAATAGATAGCTCTCTTCCTCCTTCCCCTTTATATTGTGCTTATAAATCGGTTTGTCCATTGCAATTTATTTTCACTACTGCTAACAGAACGACAAAAATTTATTTTTTTTTCCTTTGGCGCAAACGTTTATTGTTTTGGAGAAAAGCCATACAATTCAGTAATGTTCAATCACCGCCTTACATCTTCCACTCTTACTATTACTGTTGTAATTACTATTATTTGTAATGAAGCATTTATCCTACAGGTATTTTACTCTCTTTTATTATCATCTTATCACAATCATTACTTTTATCTAAACTTATCAATTCAATCATTGAATGTAACATTTCTTTGCATTATTATTGTACAAAAGAAATTCATCAAATAATTGAAATAAAATTACTATTTTTTTTTTTTTATTTAAATATTTATGATAATTTCTTTAATTGTTACAAATTAGACAATAAGACTTGTTAGATTCGAAAAAAAAAAATTATTTGCAAAAATTTGTAAACATTAATTGTTACGAATGTATTATTTCAACTACAAAGACTAAATTTATGGTTTGTGTTAATTAATTAATTAATTAATTAAAACAAACATTAATTTAATCCTTTAAGCCATATTGCAATTAAATTTATTTTCCATTAATTGCTGTTGTAGGAATTTTTGTAGTTATTTGCATATTTTCTATCTTTCAGTGCCAGAATTGTCGATGTATACCGGATTACTGCCCGCAAACCTCTGTACCTCGATCGTTATGCCCTTGCGATGGGATGCAAACCCCGTGTAGTCGGGCAAGTACTGCAGTGCAAGCTATGTTCAGTGGTGCAGTAAATGTCCACCATCAACAACAACCGTTTGTGTTAACACAGGCACCGCTTATGAAGTATTTCCTCATTCAACAACCAGTGCAACCAATATTGACCCAAATACCTGGTCAATTCATAGTAGAAAGTCAACAACAACAACAACAACAACAACAACAGCAAACATTAAGTTTATTGCAACAGCAAATTTTACCTCAGCAAGTACGAATAGGAGGAGGAATGCAACAACCCAGTATACCACCTGTTTACCTTATCCGAACTATTGAACAACCGGGTCAGGTGCTGCGACAAGTACAGCAAATACCAGAATCAATGGTATCATCACAATATATGTCTACAGTACAGCAGGTACCAATACAACAAGCACAAATGATGATGATACCTTCGGTACAACAAACGATACCACAAACACAACAGTTCATTGTGCCTCTTCAAGTTCCCATGCAAACGGTTACTTTACAAGTCCCAGGTGAATTTGGTACAATTTTTTATATATATATAAATTTTTTAAAGGTAATACATTTAATTCAACACAATATTACTACAAAAAAAAAAAAATTCAATCTAAACTTAATTGTAATTTTCAAGTAATAATTAATTAAATGATTTATTGAAAATTCATTTTAAAAAAATATATATATAATAACAAATTTATAGTGACGATGGCAGAACATTGCACTCCTCGAATAAATGCTTGTCCAGTTGGACTGCCATCAGTTCATGCTGTCACAGAATGTGATAATGTCACCGATACTACAGGTTAATTCTTCTAATGAAAATTTGCTAGCTATCAAAATGTTTTTGTCCATAAAAAGCAACAAAACAGATGGAAACTAGAAATAGTATGAAGCATTCAAATTTGATTTCATTAAATTTTTTTTTTCTTTTTCAAATTTGAAATTTTAATTTAAATTTGTTTTAATTCATCAATGATGTATTTTAAATACATTCTTTTATCATAATTAAATTTTTTGTAGTTTAATTAACTTAGGTGTTCTTTTTATAAATTTCTTAACAAAGCCATTCTTTTTTTTTTTCTTTATGAAATTGTTGACAATTATTTTAAGATTATTTTGAAGCACTTTTTAGCATGTTTTTTGATAGCATAAAATTGAAATAATTTTTAGCTACACGTTGTATCACAGTGGAAGAAGCACGACGATTATATACATGTCTTCCACATTTTAATTTTGATAAATTATGGGATAATTAATTTCAATTTTTTTAATAACAGTTGCTTAATCATTAAAGTTCTGTAGTACTGTAGGTATTCAGAGGAATATTTATGATAAATTTCACAAAAATTTCAAATTATTTTGAAATTAGAATAAAATTTTTTGAAACAATTAATTAATTTATTTATTAAAGATAAGCCAGGAATGATATATCGATTGATTGATTGATTGATTTTTTTTTTCATTTACTGTAATAATTTTTATATATCTTTGTAATTCTATGAAATGCTTTATTGTTATTGAATATAATAAAAATTTGTTTCTGTTACAAAATGTATAGTTTAAAATCAAAATCAAATTTCAATGGAAAAAAAAAAAAACGAATGTATGTGTGTGTGTGTAGTTGATTTTGGTTGATGACTAAGTTTAATGTTTGAAATGAAAGACGAGAAAAGAATGAAAAAAACGAATGAATTGCTTCTTCATTCTATAAATCTCACAATCTGCTTTTTTTTTTTATTTCAAATTTAAAATCTGCATGATAAAAATTTGCAAAAATTTTACAAAAGAATAATACTTGACAATAGAACAAAATAATTCTGAATGTTTTCTTTTTTTTTTTGATGAAATTTCAAAGAGAATAAACAAAATTTTATTGTAATATGAAAATAAAATCTTAAAATATAAGAGTGAAAATTTTTAAAAAAATGGAATGAAGACAATTTGACAATATAAAGTCCAATAGGGCTATGATAAAATTGAATAATAAAATAGCAATTTAACAGTAAAAAAAAAAAAAGGTAAGCAAAAAAAAACATCCTTCTTTAATAATAATAATAAGGTTATATTTAAAATTGAAATTATAATATTGCGATCATTAAAGATTACTTTTGTCTTTTACTAGTTGATAAATTTTGCTAATGTTAAATAATTATTATCAAATCAAAAAATAGTGATAAAAACTTTTGCTAATATCAAACAATTATTATCAAATCAAAAAATAGTGATAAAAACTTTTGCTATTATCAAACAATTATTATCAAATCAAAAAATAGTGATAAAAACTTTTGCTAATATCAAACAATTATTATCAAATCAAAAAACAGTGATAAAAACTTTTGCTAATATCAAACAATTATTATCAAATCAAAAAACAGTGATAAAAACTTTTGCTAATATCAAATAATTATTATCAAATCAAAAAACAGTGATAAAAACTTTTGCTAATATCAAACAATTATTATCAAATCAAAAAACAGTGATAAAAACTTTTGCTAATATCAAACAATTATTATCAAATCAAAAAACAGTGATAAAAACTTTTGCTAATATCAAACAATTATTATCAAATCAAAAAATAGTGATAAAGACTTTTGCTAATATCAAATAATTATTATCAAATCAAAAAACAGTGATAAAAACTTTTGCTAATATCAAACAATTATTATCAAATCAAAAAATAGTGATAAAGACTTTTGCTAATATCAAACAATTATTATCAAATCAAAAAATAGTGATAAAAACTTTTGCTAATATCAAACAATTATTATCAAATCAAAAAATAGTGATAAAGACTTTTGCTAATATCAAACAATTATTATCAAATCAAAAAACAGTGATAAAAACTTTTGCTAATATCAAACAATTATTATCAAATCAAAAAACAGTGATAAAAACTTTTGCTAATGTTAAATAATATCAAATAATTATTGTCAAATCAAAAAATAGTGATAAAAACTTTTGCTAATATCAAACAATTATTATCAAATCAAAAAACAGTGATAAAAACTTTTGCTAATGTTAAATAATATCAAATAATTATTGTCAAATCAAAAAATAGTGATAAAAACTTTTGCTAATATCAAATAATTATTATCAAATCAAAAAACAGCGATAAGAAACTAAACTTATCTTCAAGCATACGAATAATTATTACTACGAAGAAGTAATTTCAATCGTTCAAAACTGACTACCTCACATCGTTCTTCCAAATCGCTAATAGCAGAATTCCATTCTTGCAGCAAACGTTTTTCACGTTTTGCTTGTCTTTTGATTAATTCCAAATGTGTTTGTATAATTGTGTAAATAGCTTCTTTTTTATTCATTTCTTTCATATTTTCTAAAAATATTACAAAAATAAAAATAAAATTTCAAAAAGAGCAGAAAAAAAAAAAAAAAAGAAACACACACACACTAATTTTAATTTCTTTATTTAAAAAGGAATTAATTGATTCTAAATAAAATTGGAAAAAAATAACTAAATGAAAATATTTGAGTAAATATTAGTTACTTATTACAAAATTAAAAGAGTAAAAAAATATTTGCTTAAATTTAATTTTATATTAAATTGCTAATTTTAATGAAAAAGCTTACCTTCAATATCTTTTAGTAGAAGAGGTGTAAACATAGGCAAAAAATCATTGTCTGATTCTAAATGAATTGTTTGCACTGCAACATTTTTAATACTTTTCTTCCTGTCAAATCCGGTTTTTCTTGAGCAATTATCAAAATCTGCTAATTTAGAATGCCATGAATTATCTGATTTCTCGAGATTATCAATATGATATTTCATATTTGCAAAATTGTTCGTTTCGGCAATTGATGGTTTCCTTTTAAATCTGTATGATCTTTTATCCAGAATAATCGATTCCCGAGAACTTTGACTATCTGCACTAGAATTGCTTATCGATTCATATTTCTGGTTGTTTCCGGAATTCAATTTACTACATCCTATGCTATAAATATTCCTATGCTTCTGATTTTCTTCTGAATTCTTCACTTTCTTCTTTCTTTCATCTTTTTTTGCCTGATAGCTACCGGATTTATAACTTTCTGTTGTTGTTGTTGTTGTTGTCGTAGAATACAATGTTTCACTATCACTTCTACTCTCAAATTCATTTTCCTTAATCACTGATTTCGATAAGCATTGTTTTGCTTGTTTAACAGATAGTTTATCAGTACTTGAAGAGTTACTACTACTACTACTCTTATCAGTACTTGAAGAGTTACTACTACTACTATTATCAGTACTTGAAGAGTTACTACTACTACTATTATCAGTACTTGAAGAGTTACTACTACTGTTGCTGCTGCTACTGCTACTATTACTTTTAAAAGTTTCCATTTGAAAATCCATTGATTTTCTTCCTGTCGAATTATTCGGCATAAGTTTGTTGGAAGAAGTCAAACTTTTTGACGATGAAGAAGAGAAATTTTCAGTTGAAGTTATTTCTTCAAAATCATTCACATCATAATCAGAAATATTTTCCTCGTTTATTTCTGATATCTTATCAGTAACTGAATAAGCTGAACTTATAGTATTTGGCGATGATGATTCAGTGATAACAGTGTTGCTTTTGAATACTAATCGTTTTGTGATATTTGATTCGTTATCAATACCATTATCATCAAACTAGAAAATTAAATTTACATTATTATAAAGTATTTATGAAGCAAATGAATAGGCTAATTTTGTTATGGTATTAATTTGTTTTTTTTTTAAAAAAATAACTTTCTTCAAATGAAAAAGCATATTTAGAAGATGTATATTTAGAAAAAAAAGAAAAAACATATTTGAGTTTAATTCAAAATTAATTTACACAATGGCAAAAATCTTAGACTTGAATAATTCCATGAAATGTAAATAATTAATTACTTGAAATTGCCCAAAATCTGTTGTAGCTGAGTGCGGGTAAATCATACGCTGTGAATTACTTTGCCCTAAAATCTTTTCTCATTCATAATATAATCAGATAAAAATCAGATTAAATTTAGAGAAAGTTTATTTAAATCACAAATCAAAATGAAATTAAATTATAATTATAAGAAATTTATGCATATGTTTTAGGAGGGGAAAAAAAGAAAAAACAACGTACCAAGGATGTATTTCTCATTGGATTTTTGATTTGTGAGAATATTTAAATCATTTAATGATTTCCATTCAAAATTATCTGAATTTGAATATTCAGAGTGAAGTTTATGAGCGATAATTGTAGTATCAGTTATAGGTTTCACTTTTTTGTTAGATATTTGCTCATCTTTTGCAGATGTTCTAAGTGAAAGTTTATGGAATTGTTCGATTGAATTCTGTTCTCGACATGATCTCATGACAGTAAAATTAATCTGAATTCATCAATAAATTATAAATAAATGACAAAACAAAAAATAATTATTATTACTTTAAAGATCATTTCTATAAAAAAAATTTAGGACTTTCTCAAAATCTAATAAAATTTAAGCTCACAAACTTTATGAACAAAAAAAAAAATTCACTAAAAAAAGAAATAAATTCTTCATTTCGTAAAAAAAAAAAAAAAATGATATTTTAAATATTTTTATGTCTGCCATCAAAGAACAATTAAATAAAATATTTCAAAAACATCAAAAAGATTGATATAAATTCTGGAAAAAAAAAAAGCCAATTTTTGAAAACTAAAAAAATAAGAATAGGAAATGATGCGAGAAATTTTCTGATTCATTATTATTTATCTGATCCAATATAAAATGATTTGAAACAAGAAGGAATAAATTTGAAAATAAATTTCTAAATCGGAAATTTTTTTTTGATAATCCTTCTTTCATGTTTCAAATATTTGAAATAACAAAAAATACTAATGTTTGAGCTGAAATTTCTAATTTATTTACAAACATTTACATCCATGCTAACAATAAATATATTATAGAATGATGATGCAAATATCGAATAAAGAATTCCTCTCACTGCCCAGTAAATAAATGATAAATAACACCGTTACCATGGTCACCTCACTTTTCCTATGCTTTCCAACGGATAATTCGCAGGTAAATTCATTTCCCACTAAAGTGGAAGAGAAATGTCAATTCAAATGTAATTCATGATCGAATATATCATGAAAATTATATCGAAAATGTCAGCATTATATTTTTGAAAAATTTAATAAATGAAAAAAAATCTTTAAAATTGCTTCATCATTAAGAAGTAATTAAAATGTTTCACTATTAAGAGAAATTTTTGTCTTCGCAATGAGCCAGAAATACAAGTTTATATATATTAAAAGACTTTTTTTTTTTTTTTTTTTTAAATTGGCAAACTATGACATCTTGATATGCTGTATGTTTCGTATTAACGCAATGAAATATTTATTTCATTCAAAGTTCAAACAGATAACACATTTTAAAATTAGAAAAGATAATGCTAGTATATACAGAAAAGATTACCATCTATTCCAATCCAGAAAGAGATTATATAAATGAAATGATCGATCAATGAGAAATAGAAATATCGTCAAATGAAAATCTTTAATCAAAGCTTGTCTGCTGAACTAACAAGCTCAATATATCGATGAAATGTGCTACTATCAAGAAAACAAACACGTCTATAAGGTCTATAAGTGATACCTTCCCGTACAACTGAACCAAATTTAGAATCTTTTTCTACATCTGATTGAACCGGGTACTGGAAATAGTCGAACTGCAAACCACCCTGAAATCATTGATGAAAAAGAAATATAAATACAAACTCTTTCGTTTATAAATCCTATAATTTTCTCAATAATGACTAAATGGTAAACTGAAAACGCTTCACCGATTAGATAATTAAATTTAATTCACAGGCATCAGGAATTTACAGTTATGGTGTTTGGATTTCGAAAAATATAAATTATAACTATAGTTCGTACTTGAAACAAAAGCTCCTCTTCACGGTTGTCATAAATAACTTTGGCGTTGGCAATCGCACTCGCCGCGATGCGCTTTTTTTGCGCCTTAGTTAATTTTTTCCTTTTATTCGGTACATCGGAAGCATTTGCTTCATTTCGTTCCTTATTACTGTCCTTATCGGCTATTCGAATTTTCAAAATCAAAACAACATGAGAAAAGCGATATTGTGCAGCAAACTTTTTCAGATCATTCCTAAATGAAGAATATTTTTCCATTTAGTAGAAACTTAATTTACTAAAAATCTATGAAATTTTAGCAAACGCGAAATATGGAAAATTTTTAAGTCCTTTGTATTAGCAATGCCAGAACGAAATAAGCAGAAAAATGAAAATTCAGGAGAGAAATCAAATTGATACGGAATAAATCTGAGCCTTTTTAACTAAGTTTTTGTGACAATACACCTACATTATACATAAGGAATATATTTCGGGCTAATTTATATTTCCTGATGTTCCAGTTCCGTTTTAAAGATTTTGGGAATTAGAAGTTCTTCAAGAAGAACGAATCATCATGAATTTACAGAGGCAAAAATCAGAAATGAAACATATATAGTTTTCAGTTCTGTAATACAGCAACAATAATCCAGCAGCGACAAAAAAAGTGGAAAGATCAACAGATCATAACTGAGAAAATAACCCAGGAAACTTTCTAGAAATGAAGGAAAATAACATACGCCAACGACTTGAAAGCAGGGGAAGCAATAGTTGCAGGAAAGTGGAGCAATCTCTCGTTGATTAGCAGGCCAACACGAATATCCGATTTTGGAGTCGACAAATTTTCCAAAATAGAGGATATTTTTTTATCAACGGAATATTTTTGTGCTCTTGCTTTCAGTAGAGCCCAAATATCTGTTTGGAATTTCTGCAATAATATATTTCACAAACTGGATGCATATCAGAGGAAAAACGAAAAAAAATGATCGCTTCAATTAGTCAAAATATTTCAATATATTTCAAGCAGGGGAAGCAACAGTTACAAAAAATGAAAGAAATCTCATTGAACAAAGGATTAACATGAACACCTAATTCTGAAATCGATAAAGATTAAAAGAAAAAAAGCAAAAACCTGATCTGTACCCAGTTTTAACATCGACAATACACCATATACAATACCCTCATCATCTTCATCCATAAATTCTTCAGAAGGCTGAAAACTTTCAACAATTTGGATTTAGAAAGCTTTACTCTTTGAACCTCTCTACTCAAAATAAGCAGTACTAGAGGACCGAATGAACTTGATTTATCAAATACAGTTTGTTTACAAAGTAGGATTTGGAATTTTTTCTGGAAAAAAAAAAACGTACGCGATAAACGCAGCCAAATGGTGATTGTTCCACTAAGATATCGGCCATTTGTTTCACATCAATATCGACACGAAGGAAGATCTAGAAAAAAGGGAAAAAAAAAAGCGGTATCTGCAATATTCACATCATCAAGGGTTTTCTGATGAATGTATTGAGTTAAAAAGAAGTGAAGATTTTCGTTACGCTTCAAGGAAAACTAAATTAATAAATGAAATGAATGCAATAATTACAAAAAAGTAATTGATTGCTGATAGCACAATATGGGTAAAATTTAAATAATCAATAAATATTGTACTGCAGTGAAAAAAAATTTGAAAAGTACCTGTGTTAGCATATTGACAAGACCCTCTTTATCGTCATCACATATGGGATAAGCTTCAAAATCGAAAACCAATTCCTCAGCATTCTCTAAGTCATCTCTTATCAGTCCTACCTCATCTTGCGATTCATCCTGCAATAAATCCTACTTATTGAAAACTTTGTCCACATTTCACTCTTTCGTTTGCAAGAAAATGTTGCACAAATAAATTTCCAAGACAAATAGCAATAAATCTACAAAAGAACGAACCGAATCATTACTAAGCCTTACAGCATCCGCGACATTTGCGCCTCCTCGTTTCACCATCTCTCAACTTTGCAAACTGAAAACGAAATTACGAAAGATGAAAAGGACACTCTTGTCAAACAGTGGTCGTATGACAGGTGCGAAATCTTGCAGCGCTGTTGAGCTTTTCAGTAGTAACTACTCACAGTGGAATGTCACCCGAATTTCTAATAGTCCGTAGTTCACCTTCCTCGTAATATCTCGGGGACAGTGTCACACGCACACGTGACGATCGGAAGATGGACAAAATGAAGCAATGAATTAAAACGTCAACTGCTTCTGGTAGTAATCACTGTGTCAACTGCTTCTGGTAGTAATCACTGTGTCAACTGCTTCTGGTAGTAATCACTGTGTCAACTGCTTCTGGTAGTAATCACTGTGTCAACTGCTTCTGGTAGTAATCACTGTGTCAACTGCTTCTGGTAGTAATCACTGTGTCAACTGCTTCTGGTAGTAATCACTGTGTCAACTGCTTCTGGTAGTAATCACTGTGTCAACTGCTTCTGGTAGTAATCACTGTGTCAACTGCTTCTGGTAGTAATCACTGTGTCAACTGCTTCTGGTAGTAATCACTGTGTCAACTGCTTCTGGTAGTAATCACTGTGTCAACTGCTTCTGGTAGTAATCACTGTGTCAACTGCTTCTGGTAGTAATCACTGTGTCAACTGCTTCTGGTAGTAATCACTGTGTCAACTGCTTCTGGTAGTAATCACTGTGTCAACTGCTTCTGGTAGTAATCACTGTGTCAACTGCTTCTGGTAGTAATCACTGTGTCAACTGCTTCTGGTAGTAATCACTGTGTCAACTGCTTCTGGTAGTAATCACTGTGTCAACTGCTTCCTGTAGTAATCACTGTGTCAACTGCTTCTGGTAGTAATCACTGTGTCAACTGCTTCTGGTAGTAATCACTGTGTCAACTGCTTCTGGTAGTAATCACTGTGTCAACTGCTTCTGGTAGTAATCACTGTGTCAACTGCTTCTGGTAGTAATCACTGTGTCAACTGCTTCTGGTAGTAATCACTGTGTCAACTGCTTCTGGTAGTAATCACTGTGTCAACTGCTTCTGGTAGTAATCACTGTGTCAACTGCTTCTGGTAGTAATCACTGTGTCAACTGCTTCTAGTAGTAATTCAGCAGCTTACACAGTTAGTTGTGTTTTGCTTACACATCACATCTCGTACAAATTTCAAATAAACAAAATGTCACATTGTAGATATTCTGTTGACATTTAATTCACAAGACAGTTGACAGTTTAGCAAACCGAAAGAAAAAATTCGGATAAAAACTCAGATAATAAAACTGTGCTATCATTGAGGACGTTCATTTTCAACAATTATCTATCATTTATGATGTAGAACAGATAAGTCAATACTATACTGTTTCGAGATATTTCAGTATTTTACGATAGTATGTTGTGATAGGACTATTTCTATTTAGTTTTATTAATTAATAATTTATGTTAATGAGAATTTATTGAAATGAAATTATGGAAGAAACTTTTAAATCAAAATTTGTTACAGTTGAACACTGTAACTGTTATAAAAATACATAAGAGTAGATGGGATGAAATTTATAAAGAATTGTTAAGTTTAATTAGCACTGTCGTTGTTTTTGAGACACACTTTAAAAGATAAATTAAAAATATTAAAGGAAGAAAAAAACAAAAACTGTAATCTTCGATTTAATATGAGAAATTACGAGAAATTTCGATCGTAACGAAGTGAAGAATGGATATTTTGCTACTATTAAATTATTGTTTGTAAAACGAATATTTATTTACAAACAAAAAAAAAAAAAAAGATGAACATGTAATGATTGCATATAAAATAATAAAATGTTAGAAAGAATAAACAAAAAACTGAGCAAACAATAAATAAGTAATTGATACTATGAACTATGACCTTCTGTTTTTAGAAATTTCTTTTTCTTCACTTTAGTGAAATTGATAGAATCTTAGAAAATTTTGGTTTTACTTACATTAAAAATCCGTACTGAATATTTGCAGAATTCTATGAAAAAATATTATCTACATAAGAAGTTAGTAATGATGATGGAAGTTATACTTTTAATTTGAATTTTAGTAAATTGAATTACAGATTTGATTGATATTATTGAATTGCGTGATATCCGTTCGTAAGTCATACATGATAGGCAAAATTAGACGTGAAATTACTTGAAATGAATTAATTGCTTTATTTCATTTAAAATGAAATAGCAGTAAAAATACAAAAATCATTTCTCTATAATTATTGAAATTAAAATTTAGACAATTGAAAGTAAATCATCAAGTAATTTCAGGATGAGCAAAAGTTACTTACTTAAATTATATTTGTGCCCATAGTTTAATTACTACTACTTTTCTGTTACTATTTTCTCTGTATTTCTTAAAAAATATATTGTAAAAAGTAAATGTATTATAAAGCAATGAAACTATTATAAACTTTTATTAATTAGTAAATTTTTTAAATAATTAACAAATTTTGATTGTAATTGTTGAATCGAACTAACGAATTAAATCTTTTAATTGATATAGAAGAAGAAAAAAGTAGATAAAATCCTGCTGGAGATAAGATAAAAATTGGATTATCATAGGTCAACATTTCAGCGATTAATTATTGTCATTCAAATATTACTATTTTTAAATTATTACTTTGATTTACTTTAAAAAAAATAAAAAACAAACAAACAAAATTTTACTATTTTTAAAAAACTTCCTATTACTACTTTAAAAAAAAAAAAAAAAAATTAGTTTAGTTCAACAATTACAATCAAAATTTCCTAACAAAATTACACTCTGCAGTCTCGAGCTATAAATAGAACAGTCTCGACGAAGTAGATAGATTTATTAGAAAAAATGATACGATTTTATTGAATGAATGTTAAGAATATAGGGATAAGTTAGATGGTTGCTTATTTCCCCAATTTCTATTTTTAATTAATAATTCATTTTTATATTAATTACTACCAATAAACATTTAATGATGAAAAATAAAATAAAATAAAATTCTTTTTATTTCAATTTCAATTCAAATTTGATTAAATATTATTTAACTAAATTTGCAGGTCTTTTTCTTAGATTAAAAAAAAAAAAGTTTTTGTGCAATAATTTATTTTTTTTTTTTTATCTTTCATTTGCATATTCTTTTATTTTTTTCATTTTTCGAAATTTCCCTATGAAAGATTTTTTTTTTTTTTAAAGAAACTTATACAAACTATTTTAATTTCTATCCATTATATTTTAAATTTATCATTTCCATACGAATATCAATGCTTTCAAATTTTATCTTTTCGTAAGTGCTAAATCATATTTCAATGTTTGTTTTTTTATTTTTTTGCTACATTAGAAAGAGAGAGAGAGAGAGAGAGAGAGAAGTTTTAATTAAAACTTAAACTTTTGCTCATTTTAAAATTTTTTATTAAAATAAGTGAACATAAAAAAAAAAAAGAAAAGTTTGAAAATTTCCAAAAATGCTAACAATAGAAATACCACAATTAATTAAAAAGTAAAAAGAGCTAATTTAAACTAATTTTAAACTTTCATTTTTAAAAAGTTTTTTGCTTTTTTTTTTTAAATTTATGTACACATCAATTAACTTCGATAACTGCAAAGCTTAGTGATTGTAATTATTAGCTCTCTAACACTGTTACAACAAAAATTTTCAAAATTTCACTCGAGCATCCCATAATTTTCGATTAGCATTTTCAATGAACATATGTTTTAGTCTGCTTAAATACCCATTTATCTCATTAATTTTGTTATCTTCAATTCATTTATTTCATTTAAAATTTCTCATTTGCAAAATTCTGAAATTTAACAATTTTAATAAAATTTAATCTGAAAATTTAACAATTTTAAAGTATAAATTTTGATGTAAAACTAAAATGCTTCAATCATTTAATGATTGAAGCATTTTAGGTTTTATTATTTATAATAATGAATGTTTGTACTTAAATATTATATCTCAAACTATTCATTCATTTCAGAATAAGTTTTTTTTTTTTTTTAATTTCAAATTAATAATTCAAATAATTAATGATAGTAAAATATTATCAGTTTTAGATTTCATTTTTTTCTCTTTTTTTTTTTTACCTTACTTTAATTTCTATCAAAATGATTTATTTTGAATGTAATCTAAAGTATAAATATATAGTCAGAGAAATTTTGAATTTACTTTTTAGACTTTTTAGAGTATGATTATATTCATTTTCAATAAGTTTTAAAATTATTTCCTCCAATCATTTATATTACAAATATTATTATGTCAAAGTTTCCTCATTTTTGCCTACTAATTTTCATCAAATTTTAAATATTAAAATTTATTAAAATATAATTGTAAATTTGTTTCTATCACAGGTGATATTCTTTCTTACTTATTCTTACTTATTCTTACTTATTTCTTACTTATTCTTACTTATTCTTACTTATTTCTTACTTATTCCTACTTATTTCTTACTTATTCTTACTTATTTCTTACTTATTCTTACTTATTTCTTACTTATTCTTACTTATTTCTTACTTATTCTTACTTATTTCTTACTTATTCTTACTTATTCTTACTTATTTCTTACTTATTCTTACTTATTTCTTACTTATTCTTACTTCTTTCTTACTTATTCTTACTTATTTCTTACTTATTCTTACTTATTTCTTACTTATTCTTACTTATTTCTTACTTATTCTTACTTATTCTTACTTATTTCTCACTTATTCTTACTTATTTCTTACTTATTCCTACTTATTTCTTACTTATTCTTACTTATTTCTTACTTATTCTTACTTATTTCTCACTTATTCTTACTTATTTCTTACTTATTCCTACTTATTTCTTACTTATTCTTACTTATTTCTTACTTATTCTTACTTATTTCTTACTTATTCTTCTTACTTATTATATTCTTACTTATTATTTCTTACTTATATATATTCTTACTTATCATCATCTCATTTCTCAATATCTTACGATTGATTATTATACAACAATTAATTAGATTTCATGTTTTACGATGATTTGGAATATTCC